TTCTTAGAAAGAATCGCACTCAACGTTCATTTTATCAACACCTGTGATTGTAGAGCACTTAACGCACAATCGATTGCGATTGTTCGATATGACAACGACCTTAGATCGATAATCGATTGTTGTGGACACTCCGACCTATATCTTAGGCCTACCTGTCTGTCCAATTGTATTAGAATACTAGCTGGCCCGACAGACGTCGTCCTGTCCTAGTGTGGATTTATGTCAAATGCTCGTTCATTTTCAAGATGAGTTCATTCGCATGGCTCAATCATGTCCTGGTTAAAGTTCGTTCGCTACGCTCACTCACCTTTTGGTTGCTAATTAGCTGTAACCCGGGACCGATTTAACTTTTTCTTTTTGAGGTCCCTAGAGACCAAAAACACCATCCGTTCAGATTCATATATATATATATATATATATATATATATATATATATATATATATATATATTATATATATATATATTATATATATATATATATATATATATATATATATATACTAGCTGACCCGGCGAACTTCGTATCGCCTAAGTTATAGGTTTCCCCTAAGACAGACCGATGGAAAGAAAGTACCGTTACGTTTAATTTTCAAGATGATCTCGTTCGCATCGCTCAATCACGTCCTGGTTGAAGTTCGTTCGCTACGCTCACTCACCTTTGGGTTGGAGCTCGTTCGCTACGCTCACTCACCTTTAGTTTGGAGCTCGTTCGCTACGCTCACTCACCTTTAGGTTGGAGCTCGTTCGCTGCGCTCACTTGCCTTCAGGTTAGCTCGTTCGCTACGCTAACTCGCCTCCAGGTTGAAGTTCGTTCGCTACGCTCACTCACCTTTGGGTTGGAGCTCGTTCGCTACGCTCACTCACCTTTAGGTTGGAGCTCGTTCGCTGCGCTCACTTGCCTTCAGGTTAGCTCGTTCGCTACGCTAACTCGCCTCCAGGTTGAAGTTCGTTCGCTACGCTCACTCACCTTTTGGTTGCAAGTTAGCTGTTATCATAAATTAAAAAAAATATATAGTGCTGCACCCTGTTAGTAAACCTATTAACTTTTTAATGCTATTGAACATCACAGAATCAGATAGTTTAGTTGAACCAGCTGTTAAGATTCTTTAATTCCATTTAAATATGAGTACTCATAAGGTTAACATGGGAAACTCTTGAGCCACTGGGGTGGAGCCCTTTTGACGGATCTGCACCAAACTTCACACAAACCATCCTTGAATAATGCTTAATAATGCCTGAACGTTTCATTACAATCTGTCGAGCGGTTTCGGAGTCCATAAAGGACAAACATACAAATATACAAACATACAAATATACAAACATACATTGGATTTTATATATATAGATTAGGTGATGCGACTAATCTCAAGTTCGAATCTCAGGCCACAAATCTGTAATGGTGTAGTTGTGTATTTATGTAATTCAATTTCAAGTTGTTAAATTAATTTTATTGCCATAAATTGTTAAGATTATAAAAAATCCCTTTTACAACAGTTGTTGCAGTCAATATTTTTTTATATCACACATAAGTAAACCATTCTATTTAGAATGTTTGCCATTAATTTGATCTAGTCAAGCTATACAATTAACAACAAAAAAGTTCGGAAATGAGAGTTCTTCTTATCTCTGACATTTTGATCTACCTCATAGACTATGCTAGGGAATTTAGATTCCCCACAAAAACTTTAGGAATAAAAAAATTAAAGGATAATAAAAATGCACACATCTTCAATTCCAACTCCCGTGTATTACTACTACAAAATAATTCATCTAATAAAATCAATTGAAAAAAATTACATGTTTATAATAATAATTTGTATATTTCGTCACTTTGGAGGTGAACCCGACTGCTCCTGCAATACTGGTGTACGTAGTGTATAGTCTTTGATGTAAAGAAGTAGCCAACCTTAGTACCGAAGGCGTAGTACTAAAGCCAATTGGATCTGTTCTAACTATGTAAACTCAACTCTTTTACAGATACCATGTTTTCAATCCTGACTTTATTAATTGATCTAATGAGAATTTAACTTGATGAAACATACCCAAGTCAATCACCGAAGAAAAACTGACAATTAAACTAAACAAATTATTAAAAAAAATTAAAAGACTAATTCGTATAGGCTATATTTAAAAGTGTTAAGTTGAGTAAGTGTATCAATTATTTTTATATAATTAAATAAATACGTAGTTTTTATATAAGTGGATTAGTCTTCATATGTTGGTTTCAATCAAAATTATATTTGACATTACCAATATAATGTTGAATTCATAAATATCTTAGGTTTATCAATTTTGACATGTCTTGAAATTGTTTACACCATAGACTGACCAACAAATACGTAAGATAGGCAAGTTATTATCTATTTAGGTGTAGGAAAAAAATATCATTTCATTCATATGTTTAAATCTGTTTATTACGAATTATAATATTTACTATGCAATTTTATCATATGACCTCGTTATATTTGTATTATTTTCATTTAGTTTAATTTAAATTTTGGGTTATGTTAAATTTTTATTTTGGTTAACAGAAATTATTTTTTGCATATTTAAAAGGCATGAAAGAGGTTCTCAAAATTGACTGATTAGTAAATTGTACTTGACCGGATCAAATTAAAAATGTTGCTACAATTTCAATAGACGCTGCAATCGACATGTAAGTAGATTTAGTGATAATATTGCTATAGTATTTTTACAGGCACCATAATGGATAATATATGGGCAAAAAGTAAACTCAATAGTATTTTTATATTTCATAATTTTTTAATACGGAAGATATTCAACTCCTAAGAGGCTTGCCATGCAGTTGTTGCCCATAATTCATCTTCCCATGACATTTACAGGAGTAATATTTTATATCTTTGAACAAATCAGAACTCCTATGATCAACTCAATCGTATGCATAGAATCCATGCATGTAGTTGTGACACACGCACACACACTCACACTGTTGACTTCAGGTTACCATGGCAACAATGGTCACGTGGTTCATTGTTGTACTTAGTTGTGACGTCATGTCGGAGTGTCATCAGTGTCCACTTACCAACCTTTGAAAGTGACAGTCAATAACATGATTGAGGCTTGGTAAATGATTAAACACTAATGGAAAGTTACTTTCGCTTAACTAGGGCGACTATTGGGAAGGGGTGAATGTTCTATTTTGGGAATATTTACTAGTTAAATTATACGCTTTAGAAGTAGTATATATAAACGTCTATACAACTTTGAAATTCTAAATATTTTTTGTGAAGATGCATTAGTAAAATAAATGGTAGGTAGCCAATTTTAAAAATGCTTCAGAACAACCATCTAAGGAAAAAACTCCATGAAAATCGTGAAAACATGACTGCTGTTCCCTAATATTCTATCCCCTGTTAACTTTTGGCATTTTATTTATATTGACCACACTTCTATCGATATTCCTTAGTATTTAGAATAACTCTATCACTTTTTATACACATTTTGTGTATTTTACCCTACCCCAAAAACGAATGAACATGAAATTAACAAGTAGGCCTAATCCAGTTTAATTTTTTTGTCAAAATAAGATTTCGAAAACTGCAGAGAAAAGCACTGTTTGCTCTTGTCTACGCCAGTCAACGATCACATAAGACGAATTCTTGGTCTTATTCCAATTCTTGGAATAAGAATATTCTTGGTCCAATTGGTCTTATGTGATCGTTGACGCCAGTGAACAATTTGGTGGATTATCGGTGTTTGAACTTGCTCCTCTTGTACCGACGCCTGAAACCCTAACCACCAGACAAAAATTTAAAATTATTTTATTAAATTCAAACTGCTAGGTCAATTGAAGCTGTAATTGTAGCAAAATCAGTTTTTACGAAAAATCCGTTATTTTATTACTTCATAAAATAATTTAGCAAAGCAAAAAACCAAACAAATAGCAACTCATATAGTCTGGATAGGTTAGGTTAACTCAACTTAAGGTACCCTAAGGATGGGCCTCTGTTAAGTTAATCCGTTGCCCTAGTTGGTCTAAAGGCGGAAACCTAGGAACACAATGGGGCATCAATATCACCCATGACGTCATATTGTATCGATTAGTGACGTCACAGCAACAGCTGATCCATGCGATGCGATATATCGACAGCAGCGATGCTGGTGTACAACCGCTATCGCAGAGGTGTAGGTCTTTGAAGTTTTTAGCGAGTTCTTCGAAAGAGAAGTAAGCCTGTGTATAGCCTCTAAAGCATTTTTCTTGTTTTTGTAGTCACTAAAAAGTCTTTCGTTCAATTTTTTTGTTCATGAAGATGTAAAGTTTTAGGCACGTTAACTCTAGTTAAAATTGTTCAAGCCTAAAAAATTAGTTTGCAATCCAGCTACTGAAAAAACTAGGGATTTTTATTCCCTCCAAAAATTAAAGTTTGCTTACGGATGCAATTCAAAAAGTTTCGTGTTTTTTTACATGAGATTAACTATGTATAAAAAATCACTCACATTTAACAACCCTAACCCACAGTGAAACAATGTGATGGATTGGTGTTAATGATGAAATATGCTGATATTAACAAATCTACTAAAATATACAAGGAATAATCGTCCATGGAATTATATTAAAAAATAACATTTACAATGAGTGTTCAAGTATTTTCAATTTGTTTTCTATAACTAACACATTGGATCTGTATGAAGTGCTTATTATTTTATTGTTGAATACGTAATATTTACGTGAGGACAGGACATTTAGAAGTAAATTTTCACACATTTCCGATTTTTATCAACTATTTTAAATACAGTACTACTTAATCCAATATGAAACAAATAATACCCAAATGAGTACAATGAAAAATTTCAATTATGCTTAAACTATCTATTTCTTTTTCGGGAAAATGTATACGAGAGTCAATCAAATCGGTACAAAATTCAAACCGATAAGAATAGTTGCATATCCGATAAGTATCGAGTGAATAGTCGTATCGTGTTGTTGCGATATATCGAACTATCGATAACTTTCTTTACCTCAGTCACTTCACTCAATATACCTCCAACCGAGGTAGGTGCGGGTTAGTATTACATTGTTGTAATTCGTTTACGTTCGGGAATATAGCTGTGCCAGTTCGAAACCAGGTAAATGTTTAAGATCTTGTTTGGCTTTGTTCGTACCAATAGCTTTTATAGTTTGGTGTACCTACATTAAATATCTTACACATATTATGCCTAATTCATCCCGGTATGTTTTTTCGTAATGGCATTATCAGTGTTATTCTTGGTAGGAAAAGTTTTTCCTACCAACTAAATTTTAAAATAATTCAAACATGTTAATTTATAAACAAACATTATAAATCATAGTTTATTTACCTGATATGTTGTTAACAGAGGCTGAAGATGGGTTTTGATGAAGACTCGAAATATATCTCCAATTTTTTTTTTATTAAGAATGGAACGGCTTGATTTAAAATAAAGTGCACATTAATATAAACTAGTGGTCATCCAGTGGTCGAAAACTCGACCAAAAATATCTAATGTACAAACTTCTCTATTTTCCACGCTGTAAATAAAATTAAAACATGTGATTGGAATTTCTTCCTTTTGTTTTGCTATTCTGTTTATATGTATTGCGTTGTTATTTCGTCACCAGTATAGAAATCCATAAGGTCCATGTTATTTCTTATTTAATTTTAATTTCAATTGTTCTTATTTTTGAGCCTATTTTAATTTATGAAGGGATTCTGCACATCTACAGGAACATATCTTTCCAACAGTATGCGTAGATTTTCCCTGCGATGCACATGAGCTCAAAAGAAAAGGTTTTAAAGAAACGTGCATGCCTATTAATATATAGATATTGAACATGATGGTATTTATTTGCTTGTCCATTTATATCTTAAAGTGGGCCTAGTAATATAAAAACAATGAATGTGATGTCAGTTTTTAGTGACCAAGAAATGAATGGTGAATTAAGATTTAGGAATGATATAAATTTTAAAATATAATTTATTCGTATCATTGGTGATTTCTACTGGTGAAGACTTTGCAACAAATACTTTTAACCAACATTCCCTTTCCCTTTATATTTTTTATTTATTCTGTAATCAATGCGTCTATAATTTTCAAAAATGAAACCGTTAACTTAACATTCAATTCAGTCCGTGTCTACAATGAATATGTTTTTCCAGTTCATCTCAATTTATTCGTACATATTGACAAAGTTTTAGGGTACATTCAATTAGATTATCATATCAAAAATATTATGATTTGTTAGTCATAACTGCTCCAATTGTTAATTTAAATAGAAAAATTGTTTCAAATAATATTTACCAATGACGTTAAGTATGGTTAAATATTAATTGTGTTCTTTAGCCACACGACAGGGTTGATTAAGGTTTTACAAATTCTGTAGTAGATTTCTAATTAAAAAGTCTACAGTTCAAAAAAAAATATTCCAAGGAGTTTATATCATATCATAAGATATATGTGTCCGGAAACACGATAACTCGATAAATCTTTGTCAAATTTTGATTAAATTCGGCTTGAACGTGTAGGGCTGATTTCACCAACCAGCAAGATCGGATCACGGGAACGGGGTGTTATGAGGCTACACAACTTTTCAAAACCAGTTCTTTTTAACTTATCGTCAAAACTTGAAAATACCCAATTTTAATTACAACCGGCGTGTAGAACTAAAAAAAAATATAATTTTCTACATGAATTATTGTTACGATTAAACTTTACAAGAAAATTCCCCTAAAAACTGAACAATCAAAATTCTCTTGTAATTCATATATGGAGAAAAGTGAACTGACGTAGTTTGCTTTTTAGATGAGTTCATTTTATCAAATTCGGCAAATTTATTTGTGTTATAGTATACTAGGACATAGGCCTATAACAATTTTATCGAAAAGAACACTTTTTCCTTTCCTTTAGCAGCAAAACTAGGTATTTGTTAAATATTAAAATTAGAATAAATGTGGCAAATTTAATGACATATTTTAGTAAAAATCCAATTAGACAAATGGAAATTCGCATTGTATGTAGGTTTGCTGTGGCTGGAGTTTTATTTTTTTGTAATGCCTTTGGAACTAGTGATTTTTTTACAGTCTGATCGTGCACGTTTTTTGGAGACAATAAAAAATTATTTGTCCGGAAGAGACTTTTGGAGCCTTACGGAGGCCTTGACGTGTACATTTGTTAGGACCGGTGCCTTAGAGTAAAAATCACTTCCAACGTTTTTATACCCTCTAACTTGTTCGCAGACCCATGTCGACCATGGTCGGGTGAGTATGTCTGTCCGGGTGGGACATCCTCCTCCGCACCTGTGGTCCGTGGTGAGAAGAATGCAGCTGAAGCCTGGGGCGAAGCCTAGGCCAGACACGGCTACCCTGGACCGACCCTTGGTCCTGGATCCTCAACTACTTAGGAAGGTAAGGGTTATAGTCTGTATGAAAGAACCTGTCCCTGAACTGTCTACCTGGGACTGGCTCAGGCCTTAAACCATTGGACTGTCCCCAGGTACAATAGATGAGGGGTATAGAGACAGGTTTAATCGTACAGAGTATAGTGTTTAGCTTGTGTTCATAATTCTTCATCTGCATTTTTTTACCCATGAAAAATGAGAGAAATTTCACTTGAATTAGTAATTGTTTGTGATCAATAACACTGATCCATGACATTATAAAAGATCCATTATAAAAGAGTGGAATTATTGTGTTCAAGACTTAGACCACGTTAAATTAAACAGGAATACGGATCATATTAAATTAATGCAATCATCACGGACACAACTTACATTTTACAAAGAATTTTGTATAATAAGTTTGAGGATATTGTGTTATTGGACATTCAGAAATAAACATATTGTCTTGTTTCAGGTTGACATGACGCGGCTGACACGTGATCGTCTCATGACGATTGAAAACCTCATCAGCTCGCCGAAGAAGACACGAGGCTCTCCAAGGGCGAAGGAAAAATCTGGAAAGCCTCTTGCAAAAAGTAAGTCTAAATATGAGAAGGAAGATTGGCAAGACCAAAAGAACTCAAATGAAGAATTTCCGAGAAAAAACTCAAGAGTGATCAACACTACCTTCCGAGTGAGATCGCATGTACGCAAAGGCCTTCGAGAAGTATTTTCTCCTCCTCAAACCAAGGAGAAAATCAGCCCGAAGTTGAAGGAGAAGGATAAGAAAGTGGAGGACGTTTTTGGGACTTTGATACTCAGTGATACTGTTCCTTCTCCATGCAGCACGTGCGGAAGATCGGAAAGACCTGAGAGACTTCACGCGCATCCTTCAGTCCCGCAGAACAAGAGGACCAAACTGAAGGAGGACCAGGAGAACACGGTCGTGCAGAAGAGTTCAGTCACAAAACCAGTAGCGATGAAATTCCGTAGCGGGAAGACAAAAGGGAAAATGGAAATGCAGAGAGCGTCTTCTCTGGCAGACCAGCTGAAACCGAAGGAACAAAAGAGAGTGCCATTGATTAGGAGTGAGACCTTCAAGATTGAAAGGGATGCAAAACTTGTGAAGAAGAAAACACCTTCTCCTAGCCCTAGTAGGAAGGGTTCTCTGGTGCATCCTCCTCCCAGGAGACCAGCGCTTCCTCGGACCCCTGAGAAGAGTCCTAGGGCTGTGTCACCAGCGCCTCCACCCATCCCTGTGACGTCTAACCCTGTGGTACATTCGGCCTCGCCCCGTCGGCCTAGGACTGTCACCTGCTACTTGTGTCAGAAACAGTTTGGCACGGCGTCCTACCCTCTTCACGAACCCCAATGTTTACAGGTATGTTGTCCAATCAAATTCGAAAAGCATTTCTTTACAAAAAAGTAGATAGTAAGATTATTTATTTTGTAAAACGATCGTAACGCATGGAAAGCACTTTTTGGTCGATATTGCGATTCCATTCCTCCTAAAACTGGCAGTCAAAACCTATTGAGTTGTAACTATAACTGTATAATCCAGTTACTACACCAATATTTATGAAAATGAAGTTCAAAATGAGGTAGAACCATAAACACATGTATTACAAAGTTTGTTTCAAGGCTAAAGGATGTGGTCAAAGAATGTGTTATAAGAGTGCGTGTCCAGTTTACCCCCTGGGCTATTTTTAGTGCTCACGCATAATTTGAGATTATTGATAAAACTGCCTCATAGCATGTTCCCATAAATAAAGACTTGGGACAGGAAGGCCGTTGTGCTCGAAAATATTGGTTTTGTTTAGTAAAGTTGGATGATCTCAAGATACCTAACTGGTTTAGAATGTTTAGATTTGTAATAATTTATATGATGTACGTAATAAGACTTTTTATTTACTGTGTTTGGGAAACAGCTTGATACGACGTAGATATAGGGTTATGGGGTGTTTTGCACCATGAATAGCAGTTTATCGGATTTTGGTGAACAAATTGGAAAAATATAAAATAAACAAAACAATACGGTACATTTCCAACCAACGTCTATCGGTTTCCGAGATATTAAAATATTTAACGCAATAAGCTGTCATTTCAGTGACGTTACAATTATTCAGGCATTTTGTCACGCCATTTTGATAATAGTTTCATGTACAACAACTCTTGTTATTGAAGAAGCAACGTCATTAACCGCGAATTCAACATGATGATTACATAAACATTTCAACTGACATCTTTAATTAGTTTGATTACATACAATTGACAGTTAAGTTATTGATTGAAGTTCTAGTTAAGAATGTAGGAGTGACGTGATAATTGTATTTGTTGTGGGTGAAGTGTTTCGTGTAGTAATTACTATCTGCTGACTCCAGTTTTGAAGGCCGTAGCAATTATCTGACCAATTAATGATTTCCAGTTAACTGTTAAATGATCCTGTCTTCACATTTAAGGTCAGGACCAGCCCTCTTCCTTCCCACGATAGGGAAACCTACACAAACAAAATAGTTTAAATCAAAAGATAGTTTTTTTTGTTTTTGGCTTAGCTTGATAATTTAAAGCCAATTCTCTAAGTTGCTCTTATAGTATTGGATGAATGGACATCATGTATAGTAATAGCATCCTCTATTGCTGCAGCGAGACAACTAGTGGCAACACCGCAATCCCGGCCTACTGAAACAGCTGTTTCATTAAGTCACAATGGAGCGTCTGCTCAATGTTTATGTTTACACGTTTGTTAGTACTGTTATTGCCATGACAATAGGACGGTACGACGTTGTCACACCCCAAAACCCCAGCCATGTAAGGAGGCTATAAAATAGTTTTTTTTTAGTGGTTATGGAATGTTGGACTATTTTTGACATAGAACTTCTGCTTTAGGTCCTGTATACTAAGGTCTGGAGATGACCAAAATTATATAGTGAAAAGTTAATTCGGTTTCTGTGAGGATTGATGTCAAAATAAAAAGTAAATTGTCGTTACACTTGACACCCTATACATACAGCTAATTTGAATTAACTTAAAATTATATTTTCCAGCTAAGTTCTAAAAAAATCCCACAATAATTGTTTTTGAAATACAAGCCTATGTGATTATTTTAAGCTGTGAATGAGTGCTAGATTTGATTGAGAGAATATCTTTGTACCTACTGTATGTCAATGACTAAGAACAGTATTCTCTCAGTCTCTAACGGAAAGTCTATATGATTGTTGATGTGTATCGACAACTTAATGCAATTACCAAAAATGTTACAGTTAAACCTGATTTATATAGTCTGTACTTGTCTTCATTGGACATTTTAATAACTCATTGTGAGCTCATAAAAAAACTCAAATTATTCTCTGTAAAAAAATATGATGACTATAAACAAAGAGAACTTCTTCGCGTAAACATAGGTAATCAACATAGTTTCACTGAAATATTATACAAATAACTATAGCAAAAAAATTTACCTTTGAATAGTCAATCTATGTCGTCAATAATCAATTCTTTTATTGTTGCAATGTCGAACTTGACATGATAACAGACTAGTAGGTCAGGAGGTCAGGACGTACAGCTGATCTTATCGCACGTAACGAGATCCTTTAGTTCAAGGTCACCTGATGCACATCCGTTCTTTATCGTGGAAGAAAACAAGAAGATTTGTCTTTTGGAAGGGATTTGGGAAACTTTGTTTACTGGATGTGACGTTTTAATTCTTATGAATACCCTTAAAAAAGTACTGAGGTTAAAAAAACAATTATTGCACTTTTACATAATGAAAGACGCCGGTTCAATCCTTAGAGAAGTCAGCATTTTGACGGTTCTAGACTGGACACTGTTCTTGAGTGCCTTCAATACATTATCCTCGCTAAATAAACAGCTGATCATTCAGTAACAAAGCTAAGGTGTGATTTCTCTACACTCATCCTTCATTCATAGTTGCGTTTAAAATACGCAGATTTGCGTACCCATGTTCATTTTAATTGCATAGCCTCCTAGGCCGCGGCGTTGGAGTGTGGCAACGTCGCACCGGCCTGTTGCCATGGTAATAACAGTAATAACAGACGTGTAAACGTATCAGCTGGTTAGGTAAGCCGGATCTGCGGCGTTGCTAATTTGGTCTCGCCGACGCCTTGTATAAAGGAGGCTGTGATAATCGTCATGTACTTGAGAACGCTAGCCATTTGATAGAATCCCTATAAAGTTGCATCTTCTACTACATCGTTACGTTATGGTGTTAAAAGTAAAATAGAACAATGGTTATTGTAAATATAAATTGAATTTATCTCAAGTCATCACCCCTGTTGTAGACTTGAAGTCCTCCCACCCAAGGTTAATTGAGATCGCCCACTCGAATAACTTCCTCTAAATCAATCGATTGCAATTTCATAATTAATTTCACGGGCGACTGAGTGATTGCAGAGTGATAGGCTTGAAGCATTGTCTGGAGCTAGTGAGAGAACAGCTGAGAGACTGGAGTGACATGACGGTATATCGCGGGTGTGGTGGTCGGTGAAGCGACGCGAGGGGCCGGGCTTGGGTAAACAGCTGATCTGAGATGAGATTATGGTGTCATAGAGTATTTTAGTTCCTCTATCACCGTATATAACAGCTGACAACTAATCGGGCTATAAAAATTGTTCAATAACTACAGTCTCCCACGAAGTGGTTTAGACATGTGATTTTATATTACCAGCCCATTGTTGAGCACCGAAAGCTTAAACTTTTAAAACTGTCCGTTGTACCATGGATAAAAGGAGTAGGTATGAGTAGTGTTTACTCCTTTTATCTATGGTTGTACGGCACTAGCGCTAGCGGTGGTCCTCTTCTATAAGATCCGACTTTTCGCAATATCGCAACTGATCAATCGAGAAAACTATGGAAAGTAATCGCTAAAATTAATATAGGCTTTTGTCCCTAGTTTAAAACTCACATAACTAATGACAGTTTATTAATTAATGAGACTATGTACATTACTTGCTTGAAACATCATAGACTTGTCACAATTTGGCAACTGATCATGGGAAAACCTCCTTGCTGATTTTTCGCAAGTGATATTGTGTGTGGATGCTCGTATATTACATTATTGTTGCGTGTTAAAATTGTGCTATGATAACTGATCAATTAATTCTATGGTAAATATTATCTCACAATACCATACACCAAGTATTAATTCAATACTTTTGCAGCGGCAATTTTTTTCACACATTTTTTTCTAATCCTTTCAAATAATGGCATACGCATTTTGCTTGTTGGTTTTATGAGTTTCAGAAGTTATCATGTAAGGAGTAGAAGTTGTAACAATTATACGCTGGTGTCTGGGCAACGTATTTTATCACCACAACACAATGTTTACATGTTGCGTGTTAAGAACGAGGGCTTCACACGCAGGCGCAACTAACGTGTGAATTGTGAACTGAAACTGAGCGTATGAGGATATTGTTTGTGATTTGTTTAAATAAACAAAGTCGTAGTTACACCATTCAACTAAATTTCCAAATGTTACAATGACCTGTTTCCTATGGTCCACGATCTGTGATCTAGAAATGTACCTAAAGTTATGTGGTAAAATAATGCAAAGTATATATACAGATCTTTAATTACAAAATTTTCTAATTTCAGTTGTCTCAAATTACTAGCTACAAACCAATTGCTACCAGCGTGTTAAAAGCTGACTCAGATTTAGTTTTCCCTCATAAAAGACTAATATTGGCCATTAACACAATACTAAAATAAGATTTCTGATTTATTGGCTCAAATGTAATCAGTTTGTTTAGACCAACGTTTACACAGCTTAGTTGAATTATTTTCTTATGGAGAAATGCATTTCCTCTCTTAGTAATTAATTCTGTCTCAGTTGATGAAATAAATAATGACGTTGTTTTTAAAATATCTTTTGAAACAAATAGTTTATTTTTACTTGGTCGACAAATGGGTGGATAAGAAAACGTATTTCAAAGCTGCATACTCAATCGGTACCTCGATTGGGTTTTTTATATTCCAAACTGACTTATAAGTTTAACAAGGAAATGGGATAGCTCCTTACTGGCAGCTTATCTATAGTATTTTTTTATTAACATCATCCAACATGCTTTACAATTCAATCAATAGTTTTACTCTTTCCTACTTATACAATAAGTGCCAATAATACTGGAAACTTGAGCAAGACAAGGGCTTGAATAACTCTTGGGTTCAAACCGTAATCTAAAGATTTCTGTCATGGGATAATCTCCCTTTCTGTATTTAACAGTCGAACCACGTTTTGATTCAACAGTGCTTAAACACATCAATATATCATAACTTAAGTCATTCCAAATAAACAGAAAGTAGGGGTCTATTTAGTTTGTTTACCCTTACCTACCACATCCTACGATTGTAATCAATTATGGCAATGAAGTTTAGGGTTTACGAGGGAACATTGTTAAATCATGAACTTCAACTTCAAGCTGTGTAAACTTCAACCTGACATAACCCCTGTCTGTACGAGACAACGATAAAGGTCAAGACACCAACAATATCGATCCGAACGCGGAACTTGAACTACCTTACGACAGTTCACCTTTATTATAGTCTGTATGACAGAACCTGTCTCCTGGCCCTATCATCTCATTCGTTACACACTAATTCGCTGATTTTCACCTTATGCACTTTGGTTGGTCGGCGTGCTCACCTATAGTCTGTATGATGGTACATGTATGTCTACCTGGGAACTGGCCCGGGTCAGTCCCAGGAGACAGGTTATATCGTACAGACTATACACCTATAACAAAGTCAATAGAAAACAGTTTTTAGTCTGTTTTGCACTTTATGAGTGGCTCATTCAATGTTCTTTTAAATACGTAATTGGCGTATTCAGATGGGACGTTCACTTCAGTATGAGTAGGAGTGCGAACTGGTCTAGTGGTAGAACACAGGGTCGTAGAGGTCCCAGGTTCAAATCTCTCCAATCACAATAGATTAAGAGTCCTTAGAGGCTAGCGGCCATCTTGGATAATTTCAAATAACTGCTGAAGAGTTATTTACCATCTCAAAATATGTTTTCAATCACCAAAGTGATTGTAATTTGAATATCTAGTTAACTGTGGGATTGGAAATTTTATTTGTGGAATTGTTCTCCAAGGGAGTGCATGGAAGCTAACTCCCATCTTGGATTTGTCCACCATAAGAGGAATGTTGATTTCGTTAACGTCTATGCTCCAAAGACTCTTAACCTCTTTGTAATGCAACCTCTAAAACCTAACCTAAAGTAAACCGTAAACGTAAACCGTTTCCGGGTTAGATCCTAACGTCCTATGTGAAAGAAGGACATACACTACACAATATAGTGATTATGATCGATTTCGAGCAGCTAAACTCAATTTTGTTCCAGAAGTGGCATAGAGAGAATCAAGCTCTCCCTGTCTCCCAACAGCAGGAGACACCGCGACGACCAGAGCGAGAGAGAGATGGAGAAATAGCCTGGGAGAACGCGTGGGAAGCTGCACAGGTACGTGGCTGAAATTTGACACTGATACTGTAGCGCAAACTTGTCTGAGAGTCCTTCACAATGGCAAAACATAGCTTGTAGGGTAGGTGAACATTATATTGACTAAAATTATTATGAGTCGAATATATGTTTTATGATGATAGAAGAGAACATCCCACAGTTTGCAAGTCAAATCCTTAGTGCAATGTTATTTATTTATTTTTTTAAATCGTGACCTTTTTAAACCAAAAACTTAAAATTATTTTATTTTAATAGATTATGACACTTAGAAATATATATTTTTTAAATATTTTAAGATATAAATATTAAACACAACATAAAAATAAGTTATGGACGTCTCACTATTGAAAGAGTTTTAGTTTCATTCCAACCCATATACCTAAATATTTGGTACTTACTGGTCACGTGTATTACGATAACTACATAGAATAGATTATGGCACAATATAGTACACAGAATCGTTGTTGGAAGTCCTCAACAAAAATTAAAACAAAAATACAACCCAATAGAAAACAGTTGCTCCTATCAATGTACCTAGGTAACTTTCTACTAGTGTGACTGAAGGGCTTCACGCTCGAATTCGAGCCCAACAGAGCGAGAAACCACGGGGACCATCGATGATAACCGTTTGGAAAGGGGAAATCTAACTAACATTGTCCATTTATCCTCACTAGCTCCCTATACTAACCCCGTGACCTAAACTTTGAGAGATTTAGAATGGAAACCAAAAATACTATTCAATGCATGAAATATACTATTTACTCCTTGTAACGAGTAAAAGAACTACTTTAGACCCGCAACGCATGTAATGAAACGGCTATTTTTGCTGCATAATGACGAGAAATAATTTAATCAACTTATAAATCCCAAGTTCCACAAAGTGTCCACCAGCCTCGACTCTGCCATATCTAGAAGGCTGTGCAGATATTTGCAGACGACACACCCACAGTGTCCAGCACCGTTGTCTGTTGACTCAGTCCACGTAGGAGTCAGCTGTGGGTTGTAGCGTTGGAGCTTAATGACGTCACCGTGTCTACGTTGGTGGCAGTGCATTCTCATGGCCAACTTGATCGAATTTATCGCTTCAGTGACGTTGAATTACCTACGTTGCGTATTGGTGACGTCACTGTCTGACGACCTACGTTGGTGGCAGTTGTCACAGTTAAACGGTTGGTGTCATATTTTGTCCCAAAATTTGCCATTTTTTGTCTGGGCGTCAGAACTATGCATGGAACGTGTTCAGGAAAGTGGTGAACTAGTACTTTACAAAAATTAACTGAACTTTGTAAATGTTCTGTCACTACATAGACAAAAAGAACCGTCATCCATGCTGTAATTAGCATAGGTTCTAGCGTCCACCACTGAGAGCGCCGTGTAGTTACGTAGCGTGACGCTCCCAGCGGTGGACGCCAGAACCTATGCTAATCGCAGCACGGCTGACGGTCTACATTTCATTCTTTTTGTCTATGGTCACTATCAGGACGAAAATCCCCAAAAAAGGTTTCTATGGGTTGTAACCTGTGCAGTAAAAGTGAGTAGCTTTTTGACGGTGTGAATCTGTATCCAGCTACCCTAGATCATTGGAATTTTAACAAAAGGTTCTGGCTAAAGATACGGCTTAGGTCAATATTAGTCAAAAACAAAGCTAACATTTATCTCATTCAATACTCTTCCTTTACTAATATTTACCTTAAACTACGCACTGTGGTTTTTCAGCGTTGTACAACCCTATAGTCTGTATGGTGGAACCTGTCTCCTGCCCCTCCGTCTACCAAGACCCGGGCCAGTCCCGGGTAGACGGAGGGTGAGGAGACAGGTCCCATCATACAGACTATAATACCATCTATACCACTGTTGTTTCTTGCAGGCTGCGATGGTCGCATGTGAAGGATGTTCCAAGACGTTTCTGCCACATCGGCTGGAGGCTCACCAGAGAGTTTGTCCCAACAACAACAACGTCAACAACATCAACAACAACAACAATCCATACAAGAAACCTGTACAAGCGAGAGTGGTAATGTTTTACTTCAAATAATGTTTAACTATAATTCAAAGTTGTATAATTTGATATAACGTTTTTAAACTGTGATTTCAAACTGTACATAACTCGGCACAACATGGCCCCGAACTTATGATGAACATATGAACTTGTGAACATATGATGTTGTTATGAACTTAACAGAACGTGAGTAATCTACGATTGCCATATGAGTAGGTCATCAGCAGTGAGAATGACCTCATTCCCTGTGTGAGATTCTTCCGAGTTAAATGAAACAGAACTCACAGTTTCATTGCGAGAAGCTTAATTTCTCGTATCCCAACATCTACTTTCTCTGTATGATATGATTCTTGAGTACATGTACAACATATTGCGAGCTATACGACATAGAGGTCAATTCGCACGTCTTGGGTTTTGTATAGTTTACATTCATATCCATTATTTGTTTGAATTTCCATACATCTGAAAGCAATTTAAATATTGTCTCAGAGCTCTTAAAGAATGTAGAAATTGTCCTATTAGTCGAAAATAATTCGGAGCTATAGGAAACTGCTATCGAATCTTTGAGATTTAAATGTTCATCAGCATTACAATAATCGAAGCTAAGTGACTCCATAGTTTAAAATGTTATCACTTTTGTTACCTTAAGTGAGGTTAATGGTTATGAACCTTGTTTAATTATTTTGAATACAGTTTCTTAGTGGTTGAAAATTATTACGGTACTGTACTTGAATTCCAAAAGAAATGGTTGTAAGAACAAACAAATAGCAATAAACATTTGCAACATTGAATGATGGTGGGAAATTCACATAGGTATATAATTTCTTTAACGTCAATAATTATTTATCGTTTTGCAATAATGCAGACCTAATAAGTAAATTTACTCACTGTGAAGTTGCAAGTAAAATGTATCACTTTATACATAAATATTTTACCTGAATGTACAAAAATATGTGAAATAACACTTATGATAATATATTTACAGTCATACTGTTTACTCACAAGACGAATATTTGAATATTTTTCTAATGAATTTAACTACTAATAAATACAAAGGTTCTCACATTATGGACGTTTCCCCTCTATGAAACCTCGTAACTACCCGTACTTCCTAACAATAAAACGGATGGGAGCTAAAACAAACAATAAACTACAGTTTCGTGAGCGCCAAGTCTATAAAAAGTTCTGACTTAAACCATCCCTTAAACTGTCTTAAAACAATCCTAAAACATCCGTAAAGGTCGATGTTGACTGTGCAAGAAAAATTATTTTAATTAATCCTCCACAGCTTTGTGATATAAAAAACTCGATACGTTAACTATTTACATTATAATTTTAGGTGGACCTTTTAACATTGTATTATATTAAGTTTAACTGAGAATATGTATTTATGTAGAGTACAAATTAATTCTTATTACGAAACATTCATTAGGTACTTTAAAGAAATAAAGGTAAGGTAAGGTAGGTATAACCGATATTTCGACTGAATAAAAAGTTTTTAGTCAACCCAGATGAATGAGAACCACATTATTTTTGTAAAATAAAAAATAATCGGTCCAAATAGTAATATTAAAAAAGGGTTATTTAAACAGCATAAAAAATAAATACGAAGTAGGCCTACTACACAGTTTTACTTCTTACAAATATAATTTATCACGTGCATTCCTTATAAAAATATTCATGACGAATTAGGAAATAAATTGCAGCAATTGACGTGAACCTGTGCCCGGTAAATATACTATAACACAAAATACCCCCACTGCAGCAAACCTGCAGACTAAGCGAATTTCCATTTGCCTGATTGGATTTACACTGTCTCCTTAAAAATATCATATTCATTCCTTATTTAAATATAATTACCTTAACGATTACTTAGGTTTGCTGCAACAGGGAGGTTAAAAAATGTGTTTTTTATGTTAATAGTTTAGTATGAAATGAATGCATTTTCCAAATTTGATTCAAATATGCTCATAAACAAGCAAACTACAACATTTTCTCCATAAGAATTTACAAGGAATTTTAAATTTACAGTTTTTTTTAATTTTCTCTACAATTATTAGGTTTTAATTAATTAGGTAATTATTTTGGAAATTCGCTAAAATGTATACAATATTTTATACAATAAGTTGTTTCAATTGTTAAATACTTTCTTGATTGCGGATAGGTCAAGAATACTTAAATTCGTGGGATAGATCCATTAAAATTATAATGTAAAAATAAGCTCCGGCGAAAGATAAATTGCTCTGAAGTAGATGAGTCGTTAAGGTTAAGGTCAAAGTGGAAATAAACCTTTTACTTTGCGTGTTTCGTATAATCTGTAGAAATGTAACGATACAATAATGGCTTGTAAAACAGTTAGGCGGCACTTGGACATTATCTGGGTTGATTTTCTTCCTTACTCAAGTAAATTTGGCCCTCAGAAGTTGGCAAATTGTTTTATTTTTAACTCATAATTGTTAGATTTATTTGCAGCTATTTCGGTCTAATTTACTATTTAAAATCTAGATGAATATTGGTACATTATTTAGTGAATAATTTGAACCTGTTTAATATACAGGGTGATTGGTATAAAAATTTTTTGGTGTAAGTACAAAGTAAATGCAGTATGATGATGCATATAAAATGTTCTAAGTCTAAAAATTAGCTTCCCAAAGAATTATTTTATGTTTTTCAAAAAATACTATGTTTTTAAACTTAATACAGCTATTTCTCAATTACCTGTAAATGGATTTGAGTAGATAATGGCATTTTCATGTTCTACATTAAATTTTGAATAAGAATAATACAAAATGACAGAGGATCAGTTGTAAAAACTCCATTGTAAATATATTCAAATATAAAAATTAAGATGATTGATAAAAATTAAAAAAAAAACATTGGTCAATTGCATTTGTTTACACCCTGTATACAAGAAAGTGTCGGAATGTGTTAAAAACTGTGCCATTTTATAAGCTTTCCAACCATATGCTACACTATTGAGGTTTAGATTTTTTTTTGGGAAGCTAATTTTTAGACTTGGAACATTTTATATGCATCATCACACTTCATTTAATTTGTACTTACACCAAAAAATTTTTGTCACGCTGAGTACCAATCACCCTGTATATGCTTTAAATTGGAGTTGTATTTAATTAATGAATTTTTGTAGTTTGTTCGTCTGCACATAAACTGATTCAAATTTTAAAACAGAGCGCAGCTATGCAATGTTCGCATAAACTTCCTGTAAACAAATTGCCTACATCAGCGCCGTCACATTTCTCGAGTCTGCCTCAAAATCTTTACAAAATCTACTCAGGGTCTGTTCTGAACTAAAGAAGAAAAAATAGCAGAAAATCACTTGTATTATTTGGGAAGTAAAAATAATTAAAAAATCTTGTTTTCTGGGTCAAATTCTGTTAATTTTAGAAATCTAAAAATCTTAATGAAGGTAAATTGTAATGCAATTTATAGTACTGTACTGTAATGTCCTTTTTTGGACTATGTTTGATAAATATTATCTACGAGCGATATTTTATAATTTTTACATTATGCAAAAAACTTGTAGATTAAACAGTTTTAAACAGTAAGCTTCAAGATAATTTAATTAAGATAATTTAAAGGGTTGTTGATCGTTGCTATATTAACACGACTTTAGTTTCCTTGCATAACATTATTCTTTCGACAAAACTCCATAGTTGTAATCAAGTAAAGATTTAATATGTCAAATCAGAAAGTGAGCTTAACTTCAATGGATTGATAAAATACACATTTATTTATCGCAAAAGAGTACAAATCTTAAAATAAACTTAATAAAATACAATCTGAAATTAATCCTCACGAAGGTTCCAAAGACCAGTAAAGTGTTTAGCATTGTAATAGCTGAACTAAAAACTAATATCTGTTGTAAAAATGTCTTAAGAAATGATATTTATAGCTGCTTTAATCACTTGTAATTTACATAAACATCGCTTGGTGAAAGAAAAGTCGACGTTCGCACGAGAATAGACACGACAATCGGAAGTTTAGCATAACAGAACGTACCTGAGTGATAATAGTATCAGCTGTTCTGGCACGCTGTTATCATTGTTGACTTGTCAAGGTAAAAATACAGGGTCAAGGTCGAAAGCTGGAGAATTGGAACAGCTGTTTTGCTGGTTGGTGTTTGCGAAGGGAGAGATAAAAGATGTTTTTTAACAAATCCACGAAATAGTTTTCTTAATGAGTGTAATACTTGGAAAGAAAGAATGAAAATTTTAATCCACCCACATCGTAGGTAACCGTTGTTTAACACAATTATGATTATAGAATTGTAACACTTGAACTATGTCATTTTATTCCTAGCAAAACTTAAATTATTTTTCCCCAGATAAACAGTTTTTCCTCTAGTTTGCAATTTCAGTACAAAGGTACAACTAATTTTCAACATATGTTTAAATAGATAATTTTTGTATTATTATAACCTCTTGAAGTACAATTTTACTTTGAAAGAAACTCTTTAAAATATACACATTATACTGTAATTACGAATCAATACAATTAAAATTTTTTGTGTATAAATTTGATTTTGTTGACAAATGTTGGCGAATTTTGAGAGTTTAGGGTGCTGTGATAAAACTAAAACTATTATTCATATTACATACAAAATGTGATTACATGCCAATTTACGTGTACATTAGTTGCTTTAGTACATAGATACAAAATTCCCATCAGCTGTTCATGTTAACATTTAGTAACGAACGTGTATTAGCATTTTAATGCCAATAAGAAAATACAAATCAAATATCTTAAGTTTCGAAGCTACATTTGTAGTTTCATCTTGTTACAAAATTTACTTTTGAATGTCACTTTAGTTGTTAGGATTTTGCATAATGGTCTAGTTGTTGCATATTGCATAGACACACAATAAATGAATTATTTTAAAGGGCTCGCTTTATTCTGTGCTTTAAGATACAGTCTGCGAAGGAAGGCCCTATTCGCTCAACCGGAACACAAACAAAGCACACCGGAAGTGGTTATTTAACCACAAAATCTTCAGGCGTGTTGTGTTTTGTCAATAGCTCACCATTATGGAAACTGGGTACAATTATGAAATGGGTCTATTACAATAATGAATAAATTAATAATAGTTACTGTACTAACATTACTATACACTACTATATTATAGTCTATAGTCTATATACAATGTATATATATACTCAATGGTATTAAAATTGTAGGCTTTATTAATTTGAATCTCATTTGCAGTTATTTTCTTTTTCAGTTGGAAGTATCCAGCCATCTTTGACGCGAATGTTACTCGATAAACTTAAATTGAGTATATTCGAACAATGTACAACAAAACAAAATATAAAGCCTACTATAATAAACATTAAGGGGAGATGCCCACTTTTTAGATTTAATGCATTTTATATGGGTAAACATCGTGTTGCTTAGGTACCATTTAAGAAAGAACCCTTTTAGCTATGCATATCAAATTTTAACTACTTATTTGTATTGACATTTAAGACAAACTGTACTAATTTAAATATGTTCTACTAAAAAAATCATATTTTATCAAAATTTTTAAAATATATAATTTTTTTCAATATTTTACAAATATTAATTAATTTTATTGTTCATGTTTTTTTAAACATAGAAGCAAACTTTTAGTACACTTTGTGGGCCATGATGTCTTAAGTAACAGAAAAAAATTTGAAGTCAGTGGTACTTATAGTAGTCTGGAAAATGGTACCTAAACATTAAAAAACACAGTTTCGGAAAAACTCATTTAAAGTCAAGCCTAGGCCTACCCTATGCCACATTATTCCTCATCACAAACAGCACTATTATTATATACACATATGTTATGAAGAAAGAAAAACAAACAGAAAAAAATTTTTGTTGACTATTTAACCTAGCAACAACATTTATTCAGTGCAACCATTCAACAAAATTAAATTTCTAACATAAATTTAATTGACGCTAATTCAGCCCATTGTGACTAAAACCGAGTGTGTAGTACTATTTATATTATTTTTTATGATTGTTAGACTGTAGTAAATATATTAAAATTATATATTTTCTGAATCAGGAAAAGATGAAGAATCTTTCAATGCAATTAACAAAAAATTAATTTTTTGACCGAAAAACTGGGCATCTCCCCTTTTAACAAACCGATCAGCTGATATTGATATAGAGGGAAGAGTTTAAAAATTTACCATGCATGAGATCTAGATAAATATGCAATGTTATACGATGTTAAACGAAAAGTAATCTCATAACGAAACAATAATATTGTTATTATTGTAGATTATTTTCTACGACAAAATCAACAGAGGAATAATATTGAAAAGTTGGTAAACTGTTGCTATAATATTTTCTATCGAACAATTAACTTTAAATTATCTTTTCTTGTCGTCCAACGAGACACGATGATTGTTGAGCGCCGTCCGTGACTCGCCGCAGCACGCAGCACGGTAGTGTGATGACCTTGGCGCGTTGATTGTTGAAGGCGCTACCGTATATCCGCAAAGACCACAGAGTACACAGACCATAGACAACCAAAGTACATAGAGTACTAAGTACACCGACTCGTCCGTGATCGATGTTTTGACCTTGGTTAGCTTCCTGACTGGTCTATGTTTGATGAGTTGTAATGCAAAATTACTCGGGATGCCAGTTGTGTAGTTAACTTGTTCAGGGATATATTTTGAGCAAATTTGGCATATTTATTTATTTAATCTGATACTATCAACATATTTCCCTTCCCCAGTAGCAAACCTAAGTAGGCTACTCGTTAAGTATAATGTTTTAATGGGGAATATAAATTACTTTTTCGTGAAAATCTTTTGACTAAAAAAATCCAATTACATGAATTGAAATTCACTTAACCTGTATGTTTGCTGTAGCGTGGGTAATTTTTTGTTTTTGTAAAAACGTTCTTTTGGCTTCTATATGGTGTTCCCCAATCTTCTCTTTGTAATTGTAACTCTCCAGGTTCTGACACTTCACTTTTCATGAAAGCTGCAAGACATTGAGTGACAGAGAAAAGTAGTTAAATGTTGCTTGATGGACGTATCTAAAACTTTGTCGATCCGAATCCTCCATCCTTTTCCTAAAGTACATTTCCAAGTATTGATCTTCAAACTGCATCCGACCCGGATTCTAAAAGAACCCATTCTGGCTTCTTCGTGACGTTTCTGCATCTTATCCTTGGAATTCCCATGTTCTACAACTTGTACTTCTGTTGACAGTTGCAAGACATTGAGAGTGACAGAGAGGAAGGCAGTGAACGCAGCGTGTTGTTGGATGGACCAACGTCTGTGCACTGCCACATCTGTGGTAGAGTGTTCAACCGGGCGGCCGTAGAACGGCACGAGCAACAGTGTCTCAGGAGGTATAAGTTCTATACTTCATATCCTTAGCTCTAAACGAATGTAGATAAAATGTTATAAGGACGAAGATCTAGGGATCCAGTGGGCTCATCACCCTCTGAAAAGTCGCGTTCTCGTAAAATTATCTCATGCATAGTATTTTGAAAGTCAATCCCAGCTTTTCTTCACATAATGCTTAAGCAAACTACTTTAGGAGCCCTCTCATCACAATTATAAGGAGAGTTGAGTTTAAAATTGTTGTTGAGTTGAGCTCCTGGTAAATAGCATCAGAGTAGTATATTTTTGTGGATCTCCTGAGCTCTTTGTCGCACATTCCTCTTCGAGTAGATATATAGTAAAAGTAAATGATTGAGCGAACCCACCAGTCACCATTAGCTATGACGGTAAATGTTTACTACAGAGAAGTAAGGTACAGAGATAACATTCAATGGTACATTTAGGTGGTGTCTAGCACTAGTTGCTGGTGTCTAGGACAAAAGACAAAACCCTACACCGCTTCCGTTGGAGGAATTTCCACACAGTGATTCTTCCGTGCAGGGTCATCCCGTGCAATTTCCATGTGTTCCTTAGTTCTCTGTGCTATAACCCTTCTTTACGTCACTTTCTTCATAGTTTTACACTCTTCTCCTCCAGGTGGCAGCTTGAGCACTCCCGAGACTCTGGTAGCTCTGCCCCCGCCTCCGCTGCCAGCTCACCCCCCAGTTCCGCGCCCTCGACTCCTCGGCGTCGTCTGGTCCTCTGCTACTTGTGCGGACGTCAGTTCGGGTCCGCCTCCATCGCCATCCACGAGCCCCAGTGTCTGAGGCGTTGGCGACAGGAGAACGATCGTCTACCGGCGGCCCAGAGGAGAGCGGAGCCCGCCAAACCTGACGTCGTCTATGACCCAGGTAGTGTAACTTGTTAACTAAGAGTTGTTAAGAAAAGAGACAAAAGTTTTACCAAAACATTTTCATTTACATGAAGGTCTGTAAAATGTATGTATTGACGAATCGTCTGCGTAACAAGACCGCGTCATGGGATTGGCGAAGAGTGGCTGACGTTTGGGATTCAGCAAACCACCTTTGGGACAGGCCAACATTTAGCACAGGTGAAGGAGTTGAATTTAAGTTTGCCTTGATGATGGATTACTGCATGGCATCCGAAACGTCAGCCATTGTTGATCAATTTAATAGCAATGAACGGTTTTAGTACTCGTTTGCCAAAAAAAGTACGTACTGTTTTCTTTCTTCACAGAGAAACGTTTTTAGACGCTCAATTTGTAATCATGTTCAACTATAAACACCCATTTGAAACAGTAGCTTCACATTTACCAACGAATATTGATTGGATTTATACAGCAGCAAAGTGTGTAAATGCGATGTAATTTTTTCAATAAAATTCCATCTTCAGCTAGTCTATAATAAAGGCTACTTTACGGTAGCTTGATTCACATATACAACTTAAAACTTAAACAAATGATTATAACTAACCATAAAGTCTAGAATTGTACACATGACGTAGTGATTGACGTGAGCAGAAAGAATTCAAAATCAATCGCCTCGAGTGAAGATTGTTATCAGTTAATAGAAAATTTCTTTTAATCTCTTTTATTAGGTACTCAAATTGTATAAATCGTTTGTTTCCGGAAGCAGTCAAGACGTATTCAAGAGAGGATATACATTATGGATTGGTTAGCCATTGATTAATCAAACTAGCCATTTTAATCATACAGTCAAATGTATTTCAGCGTAGATTATTATTGTTGAATAGTATGTAAAATACTAACTTATAATCAATGCAGGTTTTGATTATTTTCAGTATTAACATTTGCAAACTACTGAATTTATCATTTGTGTTGTGAGGTTGGGAGCTGGCAACTCACCACGCAAGAGGTCAATGACCGTTGTAACTCAAGAAAATGAACTACTACTGTGTGTTGTCAATTATTTATAAGTCGATTCTTTAGGATTTTATGAAAAAAAAACAATAATTTTCAACGGTTAGAAAAAATAATTAAAGCAGTTTACCTGAGGAATATCATGAAAGTGGGTAAATCAATTCATGCTAAAAATGTATTTTACAAAGCATATTCACGCATATAAAGCATAATGCACGTTTATGCATATTCATATTTGTATATTCAGAGACATTTCGTGGCGATCACTCTATATGAATTTAAGTGACAAATGTGACATATTGATTTACTGGACGTCTCATGACCGTCATGCAAACCAAGTTGTTAAATATTAAACTGTCTCTGATACAATCTAATTGTGTGATTGTCGATATTGGTTTTCACTAAAACGTCCCTATCATGCAGGAATGTGCTGATGTAATTTCAACGTTTTTCAACTGACATATCAAGCAATATATTCTAAGTATCTCTTGTATTGATTTGAATGTAAACATCTTTGGTCAATGATGTAATGCTACTCTCTTTAATTGTATCAACCACTTTATTCTTATAGTATAAAGTATCCCAAGTATTAACAGGATTGTCCTTTTTAATGCCATTGAAGTGACTCTTCCGTTTGACTCTTGTGATCATCTTGTGGTGGTTCCCCCTTCTCTCTTAGAAGCATTGTGCATGAAAACCTCCAAACTTGAAATCTTGGTTTGGTGCTCTTTGGGACGTTAGAAAGGGTAACTTACGTTTATTTTCTCTTTACCTCACTTCTACCTCTGTTACAGACGGCCACGTAGATATCCAAGCCACGGCGGAGGCCCAGTGGCAATGCCATCTCGTCCAGCTTGTGCCTTGCGGAAAATGCGGCAGGACTTTCAACCCGGATAGAATCTCCGTTCACGAAAAATGCTGCAAGGGCCCAGTCAAGCACTGACATAGAGTATATAGAGTCAAACTGACAATATTTTTGTAATCGTAGAGTATTCATTAAACGACTTATTTTTATTGAATGGTTGAGTCTTTTTTATATATTCCCCCTACTCGTTTCTGACTTCTGCAGCAAGGATTTTTTTTCTAATATCTCAGATGCTAACTACCTTTCCTGACTAAAGTGAACACACTGCCCAAGCCCAAGATACCTATATCCACAACACATAAACCGATAATCCTATATAGCCTCACCAACGGCTGAGAAAGTCTCTTACTCAAAATACACAGTATTTAGTAACATACTAAGGTAAACCCCTGTTAAAGATCCAACGCAATCCTAGAGGAGACAAATTCCACGAACAGTGTTTTACTAATTTTATATTTTATAACACCACTGGAATGTTGCTAAAATTCCTACTTTTTATCCTCGATCTCCCTTCACTATTCCCCTCTTCTTTCCCTTAGTTGTCTTGGGCGAAAATGTATTCAACAAACCTGTGGGCCAGTTTGCAGTAATGGACGACAGTTGCAAATATTTCTGTATTCTCTAACTATAAATGTCTCTTAACGGCTGATCTTATGAGGAAATTTCTAATTGAAAACTGGAAGCCAGGGGAGGGAAGCACTGTAGGTATTAGCATAGATAAAACATACTCCTCAAGGGGGATGCACATACTCAACATACTCCCTTGGAGAGTATGTTTTATCTATGGTATTAGCATACTACTGTTCTCATTGCTCTGTTGAACTGTTTATTCACACTGTTGGTGCATATGCAATAGCATTTTAACTGGACTAAAGCAAGTTATTAAATTTGTTAGTGTATGTCTTGGTTAGTGTAAAACCTCATCTGTCAAACTTTCTTAAAACTTAAACATGGACTACTGAAAAAATCGATGAAACAAAGGTTATAGCTAATGCCTTGATTATCACCAAGAGGTACCCGAAAGCCATCATAGAACTTGTGTTTTCTTGGTAGTAGAGTCCCGCAAACTCGGCACTCCATAACTCCGCCATCACCTGGCTCAGAAAATTAGTGATTTTTTAGTCCGAGTTAATCGTGGACTCAAGCCAGCTTAAGTCAAATTATTCGCAACTGGTACTAAGGATTTGTTACTATATCTGATGACTTAATACTGACTTGTAATATAAATATAAATAAAGAAGGTGGTTAAAAAGCTTAACAATTGTATTGTTCTTATTTTTAACCCTAGTTCCCGATAACCCGGCATTTCACAAACTCGGCTCGGCACCATTCCAGTCCACATTACGCCAAGTTCGCAGGACTCTACTTAATGAAAGCCTGAGCTGAAATGACAGTGTGGGTGGAATCGATATACTTGGTAACATACCAGGTTGGCTTTAAAAAATATTGTATCGCGCTGTTCTGTTCGCTGACACTGCTGTTCAGACAGAGGGGAGCACATTATTCAGCTACTAAGCCAAGAATAAGGCAAGATATTAAATACCTACTAATTATTTATAATGCCATAAATTTTCGTTATAATGGCTAGCATTAAGCTCTTACCATTAGAAGAACAGAAAGATACAATTCAGTTGAAGACACAACTAAGCACATTATTCAGATACCAAGCCAAAAACACAAGATAAAATACTAATTTATAACTCCAAAAAATTGCGAAAGCGTGCGTCTTCATTGAAGCTTGGTAACTTAGTGTAAATAACACACTCCTATCAATAGAAAAGGTGGTTGGTTTGATCCTAAGGCTCGTAATTTTTAAGGTTAATTAAATATAGACAGTACAATTAATGTAGACCAATAATGTATATAGGACCGCTTAAAACGTCTGAGCCTTAGAATGACAAGTCTGCGAGGAAGTATATTTAATCGACGCTATTTTGCCATGATTGATCATATAACTAGAACATGCAAATGTCGCTTAGCTTATAATTTTCTGTAATAATTTTTATTACATGGACGTATAGTTCGGATAATATCTTCAATTTTATTCCCAATGTACAATACGATAAAGAAATATAAACTTTAAAATAACAGTTGCGGATATATAACAGTACATAACTTACATTATATCAAAGGTTTTAAGATAAATAAATAAACACAGAGAATAATGGTTTGTCATACATATGAAGTTGTTGGCTAGTCACATCCATAAACTGCCATCACCTGACAACCGGGCTGCAACCGACAAACATCAATATCCGCCGGAAAGTTACTCTCTCCTTCTTCGTTAGGCAATCCTCCTTTTCGTGGGGAGTCTGCCTTCGTTGGCACGTACAGTTTTCTAGTGTTAAAGGAATCCCCTAACATCCACCATGGTAAGTTATTATTCTTTGTTTTATTACTGAATTATTATTTTCATTAACATTTTGTGTTACTTTATGTCATATTTGCTCTAATTCGCAATAATTCTACTTAGGTATGCCCTGGTGAAACAAAGCATTGCACCACCACATCATAAATGGTGGTCTGTTGGGTCCACGTAGTATTGTAAAATGCCCGTAATATTCGTTATTTACTCGACAAACGTTAATCGAATTGTAAATATTGCATTGAGTCATATTTGTTTGTAAATGTTGGACACATTGTTTGCAAAATAGTGTTGACTAATTAAAGGATCGGCTATGTTAATTTATTCTTGGTGGATCCAGACTCAGACCGAGCCTAACTCATCCATCGCCATTCATATCTGAGATGTTAGATAGTGAATAAAAACTGCTTGGATATGTTTGCCCAACTAACTTACCGCCGTACACTTTTAATCTAGCTAAGCCCTAGAGTAGGCTTCCTATTATTTCTGCCTAGGCCTAGGCTAACTTATTTCAAGACAAACTTGAAATCAACAGGCAGGTCATAATTATTGGCTGTGGCAATGGACCAAATTCGTCGAATAATCTCTTGGTTTGTACTTTAACATTTATGTTTATCAGACCTAGGTAACTTACTTAATTGTAGGGACAGGCTTCTTAAGTAAGTAGGCTAACTTAGGCCTATAAAGGACTTGTCTAGGTTATGCGACAGTCACCTTGCAGCTACTCTAATAACTTGGGCAGTAGACTTAACTTAAAGCTTGGTAATTGTATTGTTAATTAGGGTCTAAGTAACTTATGCCCATTTATTTAACTTAGGTAAAGTCCAATGTTTTGTTAGACCAAAGATAATAGGCTACCAAAGATTACATATGCTACGCAAAATAGATACTGCAGCCAAGCAATTTTTGTGATATATAAATTTCCATGCGAAGCCTAGCGATTGTCTTCACAACCTAAGACTTCATTGCCGACATGACCAGCTGTTATTTACGTATTTTTTGTTGTTGTTTATTGTTATGGTTTACCTAATTTGTGGTTATTTGCTTATGTAAGTAACAGGAGGTTTATAAGAAGATGGATTAGCAAGAGTGAAGAAGTGTTAGTAGGCCTAAACTTATCCCTCTGAGGGTCACGCGTCGGTTTTAAGACGCACAAACATCGTTTACGGCGAAGGCTCTATGACTGACTGAATCGGATTGAACTGGATCGAGTTAGGTATCGTTCTTTCCGTAATATTCTAAGCTTTCTCCAGAGGTCTGTCTCTAAGCGCTATTCATTTTAGTTCCGAAAATATTGTAGCAGACAGCTGACGTGCGTGTATTTGTAAACAGCTAGGTTCCCCCGGACCGATGACTGATGTGTTTTATTACGTTTATCATTGTTTTAGTGTTAAAAATCAAAAGTAGTGATATACGTGGTGCATTATAAGAAGATTTAAGTGGTTTTGAAGTGCTGGTTGATGATCCTGAAGAAGTAGGTAGTGATATTGATGTAAATTATCAGCCAGATAATTCACGGCGTAACCGTCGGCGTACCGACGCGTGACCTATTTTTATTTTTATTTTATTTTTATTATCCTAGCTATGGTTAGGCTATGCATTCTTAGCTAAACGCTATGTACTGAAATCCGTTTTTCGCTCATAACTTATTTATTTGATAACTTACCTCGCTATATGATTATATATTTGTAATCCTCATTAAATTTAGAACAAAGTGGCTATTTTCAAATATTTATAGGCCTATAATTTATACAATTTCATTGAGCGCGAACTTATTTTTTTTTTGAAAATTTTCGAAATTATATTTTTTTACCTAAAAATTTTTTTTTTTGAAAAAATGTTCTTTATGTTTTATATATAATATTGAAGCCCATGATTTTCCAAACAAAATGGTATATAGAACATTAGAATTAACATTGTTTTAAGCTTCTCAGATCCGTTTTAATAAAACCTTGCAAAGGGGCCAAAAATAGGTGGACATTAAGGCCTAAACTATGGACACTCGGAGGGTTATTATGTGTAGTGAATTACAATTAATTGTATTATGATGATGATATTTTTATGAACAATAACTTACCAGGTATTAAGACAAGTGTAACTTATGATAAATGGCCAACTTGGCAATCAAAAAAAGGAAAGGTCTTCCCGACACTGCTTTACATTCACGTTTAGTGTGTGAACTGCATTTTGAACCTAACTTTTTTATAAATAATATGAGAAGTAAAAAGGAAGCTTTACCGACATGACTAAGTAGTTATGTACTAACAAACTATGGATGTACACCAGTTGTCACTCAGCAGTCTGCACTCATTACTGCCTCTACAGAAGATCACTGCCGTCTCGCGGCAGCCCCTTCATCATAGCGATAAATTCACCAGTAGGCCTATTTCTACTGCCAATGTCTGTTTATCTTTAGAGTCTGCATAAAAAAAGTTTTGATAGAGTTCCGAAATATATTATTAACTACCTTCATCATACTATTATGCAATAGGTAATTTGTAATTTATTGTCAATTGAAAATAGACGAACGTTGAACGTTGTGGTTTAAGTGTTTATCGACGAAGACCACTAAGAGGGAAATAAAGTAACTTATCCTAGGCTATATATTTATGGGGTTCAATTTTGGAGAGGGGTGGTTACGCAATTTCTGCTCCCAATACAAACCTGGCTACGCCAACACAACAGGAACTTACCATAGCTATACTGGGAACGCGAACGAAATGCCTGTTGTAAAATGTAGTTACAGGCTTCCGGTACAAAGTATTCGACCTATTGTTTAATATAATGTTTAAAACAGGCCATACCAGTAAATTGGCATGTCGGGTCACTCGGGTTAGTTCTCTTTCGTGTGATTGAGAGTGTGACTGACCTCCAATTTCCAACCTAAATTTCGTTTTTACACGTGGTAAAGATAACCTCTTTAATTTATGTAGGCCGACAACTAAGGTTTCGCTGTTGTTAAAACTAAGTTATGCGTTTTTAAATTTATTTTATATAGGTAGTCGTCAGTTGAAAGATTTGTTATATAAAACAATCCAAATCTAAAATCTATATTTTATATCTTATGCTCTAGGTACTACATTTTCTTTAAAGCTCAGTTGCAAAAGGCACTTACAAAACACCAATAATGTGATGAGATAGGCCTAATACGTAGTTTGAAAACAAATGACGATCTGTGTAGGTAAATGTTCTTCCTACAAACTATGTGTACGGTATATTGCTATATGTTTAAAAAGGTCAAGTAGCCATTGAATGTTAGGTAGTAGTTGACTAACCATACATTCCTCATCGTGCGAGTTAGTAGCAAGATACTGGTATTGCGTGAGTCTATAAATCCGGAAGCAAACTTTGTGGATAAAAATTCCGAAAACAGAAAAGTCGACGATCTTACAAATAGTCACCAATTATTAAAACTTGTAAGATTTATAAATTTCTAAATTGTTATGGGTTCTCTAAATGTACGTTAAAATTCAATGCAGAAAAATTAGTAGCCTATAACATTGTAAGCTTATTACATCACTGTGACTGCAATTTTTAAGGATTTTTATTAATTCATATTTATATCAGTAGCCTAAACCTTTAGTATCCTTTAGTTCTTTGTTACTTGGTCATTTTAATATTAAATTAAACGAGTTGGTGGCCCGTCCTACGTACGGGAATCGAGTTGTCAACTATAAAACAGAATAGTTCAGAACATCTAGTTTACACGCATAGACACAAATTCTGGCAGTTTTAATGGGGAAGATCACCTTATAAACAAATGTAACGTGACCACCTATTTATTCCATTCGAATATAGACCTAAAATATGGCGATATGTATTTTAAATCCGATAATTTTACCATAAAACAGCATTTGTGTCGATTTGAAAAATCTTGAAGTGAGATTGGCGACCGATTCACACTGGTTTTGAGTAGAGTAGCTACATGCCACCTCCAATTGCATACTGTACTACTTATGTACTTACCGTAACTTATCTTACCTCCGTGACCACTGAAACTTTTATGAGGATTCTCTTCTATCACCTACCTCTTCAAAATTTAGATCCCAGTCTGAGGATGCATTTCATAACTTGATATTTCCCGTCTATTGTGTGGTACTCCTTGGAATATAGGCTACTTCTTAAAAGTTTATGCACAACCTGTCCATCCAAGCTTTACCTACTTCTGGAAAGCATCCCTATATTTGGGTGTTAACACATTTCTCTTAGCTCTCTGTTCTTTTTTATTTCGACCTCTGGGCCGTTATCTTGAACTGGTCTGTATATTTGCTCTTCACTTTATTATCGAACCCATCATTAAGGTTTTTCGGTTCTTGGGCAATCCCCAAGTTTCTGAATCATCAGTACTACACGGGGATAGTTTGTATGGTATGAGTAGACTTTGGTTTCTGCTGCACCCTGCAGTTTATTTAACAGTTTTATAGAGACCTACTACACCGATTGACGCTTTCATTACAAACCAAAATTTTAGTATGCCGACATACTCACATTCAAACATACAGAAAAAGAAGTATCAACACGTAAACCACTTATATCTTAAACAATTAAGCTATAAACTGCTGAAAAAATATTTCCCAAATATGAGTTGAAATTTGCAATGCATAAACTAAATACTTACACATAGCCTATTGCATTTACGACAAAACTTGATTAAACGCAAGTGTTTGAGATGTTTAGTTCAAAATAACACATTTCCTGATAACGCAGATCCTTCGCGGTAAGGGAAAACTACCTACATTTTAAAGTGAAATAGTGTATTTTTCTAGTAGGTAATCGTGGTATGTAAGCAAACACCAACAATCAATATTTTTGTAAACAAACAACTCGTAACATAAACATTTCAATGACAGTTATAAACCAGCTGTTAGTTAAACCAGCATTGAAAAGACTTTAAATTGCTAGCGTCGGCTGCTAGACTTTTTAAAAATTAAAACTTAATTTCTATAAAACTGAAACCCTGAACTAAAATTATGGCTTCGACATTCCCTAGTTCTCATAATTATCTTTCTTCCAACACAAAAATCATGAAAATCCATCAAGTGGTTGATTCAGAATCGTGAAATAAAAAAACACTATTTCGTTTTAATATTATAGATAACTGCCATTTTTGTAAAAAGATAAAGTTATGGTACATTAATGACAGCTGTGCGCTTTCAAACTAGAGATACGACGACGGGTCGGCGTACAGGCAAGTTAATCCCGAGCACGCGAACATTACCGAACTCACCCGAACTTGAATGGTAATGCAGATCGAGACTTGACACAGCGCCTCTGTTGAGGGACCACCCAACTACGTGAAGGTGGTACCGTCTAAAAACGACTTGGCACAAAATTGCCATAAGGTGCAATATCTATTTTGCGTAGAATATGTAATCTTTGGTTAAACCTAGTTCTTATCCAGTCCTAACTAAGCTCACCAGTCCTAACTAAGCTCAAGTTAGGCTTCTCTCTAGGGAGCAAAAATCAGCTGTTGTAAACTATAAGTTGACTAACCAAACCTGCTGTAAGTTAACATGTCAAAATTCCATTTGATAACTTATTCCCCACATGCATTTTCTGTTATCAAATGTAATTTTGAAATGGTAGCCTACCTACAGCAAGTTTGGTTACTTCCTAGTTTAAAACAGTTTTTAATTTCTTAATCCATGTATTATTTCGCCTAAAATAAGATCAAATGTACCTAGTCAATATGTAATTTAAATGCTTTTGATGATCAAAACAGAAAGAATATGGATTGTCCCGGAAAAGAAAAATATCAATAGAAAAAAAATCATCAATTAATGAATGTTCCCTTTAACGGAAAGTACCCTTATTTGTTACATTTATTATTCTGTTAACTACCTAGAATAAAAATGAGAAGTGACCTTTGTAATGATGAATTAACTGTTCTTACATATGTGTAAAATTTGTGTAATGATAAACTGACTTTCTGTTATTAAAAATTGACAATTTCCCATTGTAATTTTCAATTAATTTTTATTTAGAACATACAATCATCCAGACCTTGAATGAATGATTTGGACATGGGATTTCATAGGCCTAGCTGTTTTTAACTGAGTAAATTTTTTTTACAAAAGTAACTTGCATAGCTTCAATTTTTATAGCTTGTATTCAAAGATGCTAAAATAACTTGCAGGATTACATTACATTAAAGCTGTTAATTTAATTTAAAACTAAAACTTTGATTTTCAAGGCCCATGCTGAAACTTGTGTAAGTAAGATATACAAATGTTGCTAACAGATATGTAGGGGCCTACATCTTAGGGATCGGAGGTTTCAGAACACAAGTCTAACAGATGTGTGTTTGCACACAATCATTTAGCTGATGCTTGCTTTATGTTAATGAAAACGATTTCAAACACCTGAAAGTTGTAGCGTTTATTAAGGTGCTCTATACTAGTAGGCTAATGAGTTTGGGAACATGGAACTTTATTTTTTCAACTGAAATACCCAAATTAGGCTATTCTTTGTAATGGATTGTAATGATTTGAAGGCTCAACATAAAATTTCTTATTTCTAAAATTAGCCTAGAAGTAACTACATTAATCCTTAGTTGCCATTGGCTGTATTGGCTAGCCTATTAATTAACATTCAACCTAAAAAACAAAGTTGTTTTTATTTTTTTATTTTTTTTTGTTAGTTTATCTTTCTGGTTAACTTAGTCGAATTTAATAGAAATCAGCAGTCAGTTTCAGGATACATAATAAAAATCAAGACCTTTTTGTAGAACCCTCCATTTTTACACAAACCTTTTCCAGTAGGCTACTTATTTATTTTTGTTCAGTGTTCAGGCCTATTATTCATTATGAGAGCGGCTATAATTTACAGGCTGACTGACCATTAAAAAACAAAAGGATCCTAAAAAATAATTTAAAAAAATTGTCATCGGTAGCAATCTTTTACAGTACCTATTATATGAGAAACTTGGCACGTCACAACATGTTAATCAATATTTTTTAGATGAATTAACAATTGATAAGAGAGCATACTATCAGTTCAACCTCTGCACACCAGTGATAAACTCTGATCAATTATCTAAAAATTTTCTAAATCAAAGTGTTCTCGTTATGATTTTTTAAGCATATATGCAACACATACAGCCACGTTCACAAAAATAGACCAAGAGGTTAATTATTGTGTTTGCAAGTTGAATTGCCCATATGTTAACTAGACCATTTTGTTGATCTGTCATCTTAGCTTTAGATTTGTGTCAGCCTACATGAAATATGTAAAACCAATAATCACCACAACTGCATTAAAGCATTGTTTAAGTTGTGTCTAAACCCACTCTGAGCAAATGAAAATTTTACCCACAAGCCATGCAAGCTCTAAGTTAATTGCACATTTTTGAGGTTTTAGTCTGATGCATTTTTGGACATGTCTGTGGAAGTGTGAATTTAATACCTTATGGTAAAACTATTGATGCCCTTCTCACGTTGATGCAATAAGCCTTGAAATAATACCGTAATAACAATAATAAGGGTACTGTTAAACTCAGGGCTCCTGTTAAAGGGAACATTCTTTATTGTTATTGATGATGTTTTAAATATTTTTTTGAATATTTTATTTTTCAATCCTATGTATATTAACAAATCGAATCATATCAGCTGACAACTACGATAAGTAAATATTGTTCAGTATCAACAAACAATTAAAAAATATTGAAATGAAACTGTTCTAAACTGGCCTAGCCTAACTAACCAAACTTGCTGTAACATTTCAAAATTCCATTTGATATCCCTAGGCCTACATGTCTTTTCTGTTGTCAAACAAAATTTTGAAATGGTACATCCAGTTTGCTCAGTTGTTAGGTTAGTTTAAAGTAGTTTAGTTTCTTAAACCATATGGGCTACTGCATATTTTAACCCAAACAAGATCAGTTGTCCAATTTGTAATTTAAATGCAATTGAAGATATTAAAACTGAAGGAATATGGATTGTCAAAGAAAACAAAAATATCGATTTATAGAAAAAAAATGATTGATCATAATGAATTCTCTTTAACAGGAAAGTACCAAAACAAGATGTAATAGGCTATAATTTGTTTTATTTTAACTAATATTAATTTAACGTTGATTATACAGTAGCTAAGCCTAATCTTCATGGGCTTAAAGCTGTATAATATCTTCCAGCACAGTAGAAGCAGACTCAAGTGTAGCCATGTCATCTCCGGATGATGTGTCTGTATTGATGACAGTCTGTTAGTGCAATGGAAGTACAGAAACATGGACCAGCTAACACTGCCACAGAACCGCTCTCTTGATGTTCAATTGTGGTTTAGTTACACTGGTCTTATGACAGTTAAATTATTCTTTATTACAACAATAATGTTCTTTACTTTGACCAGCTGACTTTATAGTGAGAATTATACAGCATCATTAGACAAATCCAAAGATCAAGAACTGCTGTCTTTTGTTTGTAAACCTTTAAGTCATTAGGCAAACACTTAATTTACCACTTTGTTCCTTTGCAGGTGAATTTCACAGTTGATGAGATCCGTGTGATGATGGACAAGAAGCGGAACATCCGTAACATGTCCGTCATTGCCCACGTGGACCACGGAAAGTCAACTTTGACCGACTCCCTTGTCTCCAAGGCCGGTATCATTGCCAGCGCCAAGGCTGGAGAAACCAGGTTCACCGACACCAGGAAGGATGAACAGGAGCGTTGCATCACCATCAAGTCAACGTGAGTTGAAAAGTGGTATTGAGTAGGCCTGTGTTTACACTTTTTACCGAATTTCCCCACTTAGGAAGTACGTTTTGGGTGATGTGTGGACCTTAATTTTTACCCCTAGGGCTCGTTGCCATGTAATGCTATTTTATTTGTCGTTTTATCTGGATGCCATTGGTATTTTTGCGTTTTTTCGTCAGGGGCTGGTTCAAACCCTGGTCTCGTTACTATCTTATTTAGATCTTTTGTTACAGAGCTTAATTAAACTGATAGCCTCCAATGACTAATGTCACATGCGTTGGATGGGTCCTGAAGCAAATTCGCTTGAAATTGAATCAGCAATTTTCAGATTGCATATAGCATACTTGAAGCAACTTGCAGCTTAGCTTTAATTTGGTAGGCTACTCATAGTTCATTGTTGGAACAGTTTGTAATTTTGTCAGTGTTTAAAATCTGCCATTTAGGTTTTAAGGCTAAGGATCACTTATGTTCAAGAAACTGGTCATGAAATATTAATGTTTTGGGCAAACATTGTATCACTTCTAATAAATTCATCTACACCCTTGAAATCTTTCAGCACAGTAGAAGCAGACTCAAGTGTAGCCATGTCATCTCCGGATGATGTGTCTGTATTGATGACAGTCTGTTAGTGCAATGGAAGTACAGCAACATGGACCAGCTAACACTGCCACAGAACCGCTCTCTTGATGTTCAATTGTGGTTTAGTTACACTGGTCTTATGACAATGTATGAGAAGGCTCGAACTTAAAATTTTTGTTCAGTTGAGGTTTAGAAAATTCAGACAAATTTCTTTTGCATTGTAGGCTTAGCAGTCAGTGAGTTCATTATAACAGATTGACCTCTTGGCCTCATAATTAACCTCTAAAGGCCTTTAAGGTCTTAATTTTTTGATTGTTTAAAACTTAAGTCTTAGGTAGGCTTAATTACTTCAAGGTTTTTGGGTGTATAACTTTCATAGCCAATCTATGGTCATTGGATTTTACCTAACTTATCATTCAATGTTGGTTGACAGGGCCATCTCCATGTACTTTGAGCTGGAGGACAAGGACTTGGTGTTCATCACCCACCCCGACCAACGAGACAAGGGTGACAAGGGATTCTTGATCAACTTGATTGACTCTCCCGGACACGTAGACTTCTCCAGTGAGGTGACAGCTGCCCTCCGTGTCACCGACGGCGCTCTGGTCGTCGTAGACTGTGTGTCTGGAGTGTGTGTGCAGACCGAGACTGTGCTGCGACAGGCCATTGCCGAGAGGATCAAGCCTGTTTTGTTCATGAACAAGATGGACAGAGCTCTGCTTGAGCTGCAGCTGGACTCTGAGGACCTCTACCAGACTTTCCAGCGTATTGTGGAGAACGTCAACGTCATCATTGCTACTTACAGCGACGACAGCGGCCCCATGGGTGAAGTTCGAGTGAGTAGAACATTTCTATTTCAATCTATTACTTTCATCTATGTTTCTTAATTGTTTCTGTGGCATAGCCTAATGTGGTTTTTTCCAAACATAACTTGTCCATCCAATGACTAGAAAAATAGGTTACATTAAGAGTAACTTAATAGTTATTGGTTATTGCGAGTCAGAATCTTTTTATTATCATTAAGTACAAATTCTGTTTCACTTACCGTACCATTAACTAGGGCTACCTGTTCATTTTAGTATGTTTTGTCTAGGTTGACCCCAGCAAGGGAAGTGTGGGTTTCGGGTCAGGTCTGCACGGATGGGCCTTCACCCTCAAACAGTTCTCTGAGATGTATGCTGACAAGTTCAAGATCGATGTCAACAAGCTCATGAACAGGTATGGCCATCCATCCTTTCAAATCAAATCAAAATCAATATTTTTTTTAGTTTTTTGTTAGGCCTATATATACTGACTTGCTAATTCAACAGGGCTAGCATTATAACCTACAAGTGCAAGCCTTTTATTAGTTTGACTACACTTATTCTTTATTTAGCTTGTACTAATATTGAGTTTTGGCGTGATTCCAAATTCAACGTTTCATTTACGGCTTTGCTTTTGGGATTTTTTTTTAAGTCAATTAAAAAGATATACAACTTATTTCAAGCATAGGCCTAAGCGCTTTGAAAGGGAAGTTCATGACTTGGTCTGTAATGAGACTCTTTATACGTTTTCTACTTATTGTCACTAATTAATGCTATTGCTAAACAGACTGTGGGGAGAGAACTTCTTCAACCCTAAGACCAAGAAGTGGGCCAAGCAGAAGGAAGAGGACAACAAGCGATCTTTCTGCATGTACGTCCTAGATCCTATTTACAAGGCAAGTCATTTCCCTAAAATATATCATTGTGTTTGAAGTTCACTTGGTGATGGTAACTTTGTTACTTTAGAATCATTGAAGTCATTTCCATCAAGTTGACGATGTTTCAGGGTTATCTGATCACGTCCTCTTGTGAGGAAGTATCTAGAAACAAGATTAGTACGCAAATACCACCAAAGCTGGGATGCAACGGGGAATAAGAGCGATATCCCATATATTTCTCCGTGCCCATCTTATTCTCGGCTTCGGCTGTTTTTGTTTGCTAATCTTGTTATCCTCACCTGATGGGAATCAAATACCAGATCCCTAAACATTGTGATAAATTAATTAGAAATGTCTGCAATAATCCCTTGATTCACATCTAAAATAACATTGCAAGCCCAAAAAAAACCTGTCCCAAAAACCAGCTTTGTTATTGTAATGGTTTGTACCAATGCAAGCAAGTTTTAATTAAATTCTTTATGATGACTGTTCTATTACCAACTTCCTGAATTGCTTTGATAGACTCAAAGAACGGCCAACTGAAAGAATTTTAAATCTAGAATCAAATACCAGATTCCAATAGAAATGTCTGCAATAATCCCTTGATTCATATCTAAAATAAAATTGCAAGCCCAAAAAAACCTGTCCCAAAAACCAGCTTTGTTATTTCAATGGTTTGTTCCAATGCAAGCAAGTTTTAATTAAATTCTTAATGATGACTGTTCTATTACCAACTTCCTGAATTGCTTTGATAGACTCAAAGAACGGCCAACTGAAAGAATTTTAAATCTAGAATCTATACTACTTTAATTGCCAACAACTTTTGCAAGTTAGTTTTACAAATTACTTAAGCCTGATTATTGTATAAGTTATTATGTGCAACCTTTATTAAAACTCTTAATGATGACTGTTCTATTACCAACTTTCTGAATTGCTTTGAGAGACTTCAAGAACGGCCAACTGAAAGAGTTGTAGATCATAGCATGTTCATTTTCTGAAAACATTTTATAGTTTTTATTGATCTATATATTTTAAAAATATTACAGTACATTTAAAGTTATTTTAAAATTCTGCTTCTATTTGTGACTCTTATTATATGTTTTTACTGTTCCCCTCAATATTTTGATAAAAATGTTGCACTTTACTATTATTTTATATGTTCACAAGTCAACAATATGTCTGTTGACAGGTGTTTGACTCTATCATGAACTACAAGAAGGAAGAGGCTGCTTCTCTGATGCAGAAGCTTAACATCGAGCTGAGGCCCGAGGACAGGGACAAGGATGGAAAACAACTCTTGAAGGTAAACCATTTAACAAACCAATATCAACAAGTCTATTTTATCTAACAATTTGCGAATTGTTTGGTTATTTTAGTGATAGGTCTAAGCACTTTTACCTACAGAGACTCTTTTTGTTGATTTTTTTCAAAATAATTACCACCTGATAAAACAAGATAAATTTTGATTTGTTTATAACGGAGACAAATTACTCTGACAAGACCAAAGCTTGTTACGATCTGAATTATAAACTAGGGTTTGTCAGAAGAAAAATAAAACTTCCAATAAGAAAACCAAAACTGTTTCGTTTTAAATTTTTATAGATATTGTTTAATGCTTTCCTCTATATTACACACTTAACGACTACCTATTCCGAATGATGAATGTTCTATTTCCACCTAACTGATGTTAGTTGATGACACAAAGAACGGCCAACTGAATGACCAGTAGAGTGAGCACTGTACTGTCTACTGTAGATGTGGGAGACTGTAGCGGTGTTGTTGTAGGTCGTGATGCGTACCTGGTTGCCAGCTGGAGAAGCTCTGCTTCAGATGATAGCCATCCATCTGCCCTCGCCTGTCGTGGCGCAGAAGTACAGAATGGAGATGTTGTACGAGGGACCTCTGGACGATGAGGCTGCTATTGGTATCAAGGTGAGAACTCAGTAAGTCTATTTAGTTTGACGATTTGTTGGCACTTGAATCTTGAATCAACTCAGCTTGAATGCCGGACACAGATCAACGTACGCGGATTGTTGCTGTTGAATTGTAGCTAGTTTCTCCTCATAAAAAATCTAAATGTGGCTGGTTAAGGGGGTTATTAGTGTATTTCTTTTTCTTATGAGTTGAAATTTTGATCACCACCTGTTTTTAGCCAAGGCTTTGACTCGGTGATTGGGAGTTTGTGTTAAGCTTTTAAAAACAATCTTTATTTTACCAGGAAAAAGTAAACCAGACATTGCCAGAAGGTCTTTAGATGGTTGCATTTTGATACAAAAGTTACAGACTATACAATACAATAAAAATGATACCAATTAATTGTTTATGCTTTTAAAAAAATATTAAATATAAAACAAGAAAATAAGTATCACTTTAAACAAGTTGTTATTTTGTGTTTCAAACAATTTTCTTACCGTTTTAAGTATGTTTATGTAAATTTTGGGTAGTTACTAAAAATATAGGAATTTCAAGCTTCTAAATTAATCAAAATAGGCTACCTGTTTACCTCGTGGTTTTTAAACTGTAGACCTACATTATTTATTATGCAATATATTTGCGCATTAGGGCCTAACATTAGATTTTAAACCAGTTTTAAAATCAATTAAACATATAATTTGTCCTATCGTACTCCCTTGCTTGCAATCAATCAAGGGGCAGGAACGGACATAAATAATCGACTATTTCAGGGAGAGCTTTCTTTATAGATCGTTCTTTAATACGACAGTCAACATTTTATCTAGATGTATCTAATGATTGAAGGTAGTTTTCAGAAGAGTACATAAAAGTATAACAAATTTGTTTCTTTTTTAGAACTGTGACCCCAACGCTCCCCTTATGATGTACATCTCCAAGATGGTACCAACATCTGACAAGGGTCGATTCTACGCTTTTGGACGTGTTTTCTCTGGAAAGGTAGCGTATCTTATTTTATCTAGGTTAGGAAGTTTTTTTGGAAAGTGATACAATTCAGCTAGCTCTACCTTGTGTTAACTTATTCTATTCTATTCCAGCGAGTGTTGTAGCTATTTTGTACCCTGATCCCTGGATTTAACTTGACAAAATAGCCTAGTAATAAAAATATACTTCATGTCTGCTTGAGCAATGTAGCCTATAGGGCCCAAACTTTGCTTTTAAGTGTTTGGTTTTTCTTCTTCACTTTAAAAATGTTCCAATTATAGTCAATGTTTCTTTGTTCGTAGGTCCTATGTAAACAACTTGAAACTTTAGTAACATTAGCATGGTTATTTTATCATAGTGTCCTTGTTAATAGGAGTGAGTGGTCTGATATTCCAACACAAACCAAGATAGATGTCCCTAAACTCTCTAACAGTGTTTTGTGGCATTGTTAGGTAGCCACAGGAATGAAGGCCCGCATCATGGGACCCAACTACACCCCTGGCAAGAAGGAGGACCTTTACGAGAAGGCCATTCAGAGAACCATCCTCATGATGGGGCGTTACGTTGAGGCCATCGAGGACGTTCCTTGTGGTAAGTGATCTCATCTCTGACGTTTAATTGTCCTAACACCTCCATTGGTGTGGTGATCTAAACAAGGGTATAAAGGAACCTACGTACACTGGCTACTTGGTAGATTTAGCCGGAGAAAAAGTGAACGATCGTTGTCTTGGTTGAATACCTAAAAAATGTTGGAGCTTTGCTTGTCACCTAGTAATTTGTTATAGAATTTTACAAACTTCACCTTTACTTTTGTCTAAATATCGCTCTAATGAAATTCGTATTTGGATCTACATTGCCTTTAGAATTATCTAATGACTAAAAAAAAATATTCTTGATCCTTACCTGATATTATTTCCGAGTTAGCTCTATGTTAAATTCCCACTAGCCATGTTTTTATGTTTTTGCTATTAACCTGCGTTGTTTCTATTCAATTCATGAGAGAGGCATTTGATGATGAACTACACAGACCTGTACTGAATAATAATGAAGAAAATTAATCTAACACTGAAAGTGCTTCATCTCAACGTAGTCTATGAAACATGTATACAGTTTTATCTGTTTTGCTTTGTTGTCTTAAAGTTAAATTTCCTTGGAAGTGGAAGCATATAATGATGACAAAATATCACCTGAAAGTTCACGTTGATGGTAGTTATTCAGACCTGAATATGCTTCACGGTTCTAAATAGGCTATTAAAAAGTGTCAAATAGGTATTGTATCCACTGAATCCCCCTGTAGGCATACACAGTTCCAAATATTGAATTGCCATTTATCATTGGGAATTTAGGCATCAAACGACCTTTGTAAACGTCTACTGATATTATAGTCACTCAGCGCTTGTAAATTTTATTTTATACTTCAGACATTAATTTGAGCAATTTTGTAAATTGGTGAGAAGCATTTGATGATGAATAACACAGACCTGTACTGACTACTATTGAAGAAATATTCCGAATTCCACTGAAAATGCTTCTCCCAATGAAATCCTAAGCTATAAATTTTATAATTTCACAATTGAATAACTGAATAATGAGTAGGAGAGGAGTAGAATAATGAGTAGTGATATTTTCACCTATATCACTATTTAACTAGTTAGACATTTTATTTAACACGCCTACAATGTGAGATATTTGATTTAAAATAAGGGACATTTTATGATGATTCACTTTTTCTGATATTTAATGAAGATATACAATATTTCAGAGTTACCAAGTCTGAAAGTGTCCCTTGGTTGGTCCATTAAACTATTCACTTTTAACCTCCTTCCAAAAAAAAAAATATCTGTAATGTTAACAATCCCTCATATCAGCATATATGCCTGAGCCTAACTTAAATAGTTACAGGAACCTCCTTCCAATAAAAAATATCTTTAATGTTAACAATCCCTCATATCATCATATAGGCCTAAGCCTAACTTAAATAGTTACAGGTCTATGGTAATAGATCATTAGTCAATACTTCCTGTGAATGCGACAAATACCTTTTGGCAAGAGTGATATGATGACCCTAAAGTCCCGCGATAAACACATGCATTTCCAAATCAATTGTAATTGGATTTAGACTGTATATAATCTTCCAGCACAGTAGAAGCAGACTCAAGTGTAGCCATGTCATCTCCGGATGATGTGTCTGTATTGATGACAGTCTGTTAGTGCAATGGAAGTACAGCAACATGGACCAGCTAACACTGCCACAGAACCGCTCTCTTGATGTTCAGTTGTGGTTTAGTTACACTGGTCTTATGACAAGTCACTTTCCTTTTCTTAATTCTCCAAACGTTTTTTAGGGTTCAAGTTTGTGTGAATGGAAACATTTAAAAAATTAACATGTTAATTTTTTTTTCGCAGGAAACATCTGTGGTCTGGTCGGTGTTGATCAGTTCCTGGTCAAGACTGGAACCATCTCAACATTCAAGGATGCACACAACTTGAAGGTAAATAAATAACAAGTGACTTTTACCAATTAATACTAAACCTTAAAAAAGCGCAGTGCCTATGTTAAAAATTTTGTCTAGGGAATGTTTGAATTTCGGATAGTTCCCACAGCGGCCGTTAGGTAGCAAAGGCGCTACTATCGCGAGCGTGGGCCAAGTCAACTGACTGAGTGAGACAAATAATCGGCATTAAACGTGTAATTTGTCCTATATTACCCCCTTGCTTGCAATCAATCAAGGGGTAGAAACGGACATAAATAATTGACTATTTCAGGGAGAGCTTTCTTTATAGATCGTTTTTTAATATTGTAGTCAACATTTTATCTAGACACATCTAATGTTGAAAGGCAGTTATGCTGAAGAGTGCCTACATCAAATAATTTCAACAAATTTGTTTCTTTTTTAGAAGTGACTCTCAGATGAACATGTCAACTAGGGCTGTTAGTTATCTGTTATCTAAGTGAGTCTAGGCCTAAGTATTAATCGTGTGTTGTTGTGCAGGTGATGAAGTTCAGTGTGTCACCTGTGGTGCGTGTGGCCGTTGAGCCCAAGAACCCAGCTGATCTGCCCAAGCTGGTGGAAGGTCTGAAGCGTCTGGCCAAGAGTGACCCTATGGTACAATGTATCATTGAGGAGTCTGGAGAACACATCATTGCTGGTGCTGGTGAACTGCATCTTGAAATCTGTCTCAAGGTAACTTAAATACAAGTGACAAATGTGTGGGGCAAAATTATTTTATGAAAATAAAAATATTTTAGTAAAACCTCACTGATTTGAAAATTTGAGGACCCAGAGGTCGTAAAATTTGTAGGTCGTCGAGTTATCCAGAACATTGAAATTTTCAATGGATTCCGTTGTATGAATACATAACAGACAAATTTTTACATCAATGCAGTCAATTATTGAAATGTATGTCTTGTGCTGTCTGTTATTGAGTACTATCTACTGTAATATTATTCTTGCTTGTAAAAATAACATGGTTTAAGGGCGATATTACAGTACGTTTGTGAGTTCCTATGTCTGTTTCAATTTTTATATAATGATGATTACCACAGACCTGTTCTGAGCTGGTTGAAGACACAATTGTAATCTGACCAAATGCTAGTTTATTCAATGATAAGATGACACCATCACATTGAGTAACCCAAGTGTGTTTTGTAGGACTTGGAAGAAGACCACGCTTGCATCCCCATCAAGAAGAGCGACCCTGTGGTGTCGTACAGAGAGACAGTGTCAGAAGAGTCTGACCAGATGTGTCTGTCCAAGTCTCCCAACAAACACAACCGTCTGTTCATGAAGGCCTGCCCCATGCCTGACGGTCTGGCTGAGGACATTGACAATGTAAGTAGCCTAGTGCTGTAACAGGTAGAAAATTGTGATCCATTTTGTGTACCTCTTCACTTTAGTCCTATCCTACCCTTTTGAGTTTTATGACTCACGAGGCTAGGACGGACAAATATTATTGACAGTTTCAGAGAGAGCTTCCCTCAATGGGTTTTTCTTGAATCTTGCTGTCGACATTAGTAATTGTTTTCCCAATAACTTCCTCAGCACAATTCCGTTCTGTGGCTAGCTGTGTTTTTCTAATCCTTTGGCACTTGATTAATTCGTAGAAATCACTTAAAACTCCTGTGAGTGCTAGTGCCGCATTCTGGCTTTAGTAGCACTCTTCCAGTCCGGCTGACAGACACGGTAGTTGAATTTCTAGACCTAATGCTGTGCAATGCCGAGTGTACTTCTGAGGTCGGTCTACAAGTGTGGGTACAATTCCCAATTGTATGCAGTCTGTTTTATGATTATTAATTTGGCGCTTTGCCAGTTAAAGGCTCATCATAAATACGGTGTTTGGGTGGATGAAAGTTGACGGTATTAGAGCAAAATTCCCCCCTAAAAGAGTTCAGATTCTTTAACCTTGTGTGAAATGTACAATAGGCCTGTTAAAATTATGGATATTGGTTTAATTCAGCTTAGCCTTGTGTGAAATGTACAATAGGCCTGTTAAAATTATGGATATTGGTTTAATTCAGCTTAGCCTTGTGTGAAATGTACAATAGGCCTGTTAAAATTATGGATATTGGTTTAATTCAGCTTAGCCTTGTGTGAAATGTACAATAGGCCTGTTAAAATTATGGATATTGGTTTAATTCAGCTTAGCCTTGTGTGAAATGTACAATAGGCCTGTTAAAATTATGGATATTGGTTTAATTCAGCTTAGCCTTGTGTGAAATGTACAATAGGCCTGTTAAAATTATGGATTATTGGTTTAATTCAGCAAGTATACTGTAGAGAACCATTGTGCTTTTGCTAATTTTAATGTCACAATGTGTAGGCCTATGTAATACTTCAGTGAAAGGTTAACTATTTTGGTCTGTGGATTTAGTCCTATCCTACCCTTTTGAGTTTGATGGCTTACGAGGCTGGGACGGACAAACATTATTGACAGTTTCAGAGAGAGCTTCCCTCAATGAGTTGTTCTTGAATCTTGCTGTCTACATTTGGTAACTATTTCATGCAAGCTCCATAGCCAATTAGTAGTTAGATTTCATCTTATATCATTCATTAAGATTGTGATCTCATTGTAATACAGTTTTCCTTTTTTTCCAGGGAGAAGTTAACCCAAGAGACGACTTCAAAGTGCGAGCACGTTATCTTGGAGAGAAATACGAATATGATGTAACAGAAGCTAGGAAAATCTGGGCGTTTGGACCCGACGGAACAGGACCCAACCTGCTGGTGGATTGTACCAAGGGAGTGCAATACCTTAACGAGATCAAGGACTCCGTAGTCGCAGGATTCCAGTGGGCGACGAAAGAGGTTAGTGGAACTACCATAATAACCAATGTTTGGTTTCCCACGATATTCTCCATACAAACGTCTGTTTGTTTGGTTGCACAAAGTGGGGATAGTAACAGTTCTTAAGTTTCGGTTCTGCTGGTTTTAAGCTTTGCCGTAATAGGGGAACTAACATTTTAACTTTTTTTTATTTTAATGGGAATGGCTGGTAAGAATTTAGTTTAAAAGGAATTAAGGATCTCCAATTCCAAAATTAATTGAGTTTAGGGATAACTTTATTACTTTATAAATCGTATTGTTCAATTTTCACTTAACTTAGATTATTTAAGAAGAGGGTATTACAATTCTTTGTGGAATGTCACAGTAGGCTCTGAGTGACTTAAGTTACCAGTTCTTAATTATAATTATACCTTTTTGCTGAGAGTCATGCTAATCACAGAGTTTTTTTATATGACAAATTAAGCACATGCCTCCAATTCTGATTAATACAACTTTTTAGGTTGTCTATTTCAACAAAGTAATATTTGTACTTCATGTCAATGATAACTCGTTTTCACCACCTCACACCAATAACATAATTATCCTTTGAAAATCAAGTATTACTTAAAGGATTTCTATTTCAACAAAGTATTATTCATACTTAATGTCAATGATAACTCGTTTTCACCACCTCGCACCAATAACATAATTATCCTTTAAAAATCAAGTATTACTCAATATCTGAATGTCTAATGGTTATGAGTTTACCAACTTTTTACTACTACTGTTGTGTAGGGTGTGCTCTCAGAAGAGAACATGCGAGGAGTGAGGTTCAACATCTACGACGTGACACTCCACGCTGACGCCATCCACAGAGGAGGTGGTCAGATCATCCCCACCACCAGGCGTTGTCTGTACGCTTGCATACTGACGGCAGCACCCAGACTGATGGAGCCCGTCTACCTGTGTGAGATCCAGTGTCCCGAGGTGGCCGTTGGAGGCATCTACGGTGTGCTCAACAGAAGGAGAGGTCACGTCTTTGAGGAGATGCAGGTGGCTGGTACACCCATGTTTGTCGTCAAGGCGTATCTGCCCGTCAACGAGTCGTTTGGTGAGTAAAGATGGTGAATTGATAGTTAAAGCCATGTTTAGGGGTGTGCGATGCATCGAAAATGCATTGAAATTTCGATTCGATTCGATTCGATGCATCGAATCGCGATTCGATTCAGTGGTGGTCAAAAAACGATTCGATTCACGAGGGAGTCAGTATCCATATACGAAAAACGCCTGCAGAAAGTCAATGCAATATCCGCAATACAGGAGCGCGTTGCTGTTGCGTTTCCTTTACGAAGGCGTTCTTATTTAATACATTCTTTGCATTTAATATAGCTTTAATTGTTTTATATTTTTTTGTTTTGACATTGCAAATGATTAGAGGTTTTATTTTTTGTCTTGATGTAAGCAGTGTGTGAAATATTTTACTACTGTGAACCTAGCCAAAACAAGGTAGGTTACTCCAAAACCATTTTAAAAATAAGTCTGAAAAATTGTTACTTAATACTTAACTAGTAAGATCAATGTTATAGACTGATACATTTGGTATTTTTGTTAGGTGTCTGTCGGTCCCCGTCCCCGAATTTTTGTTGGGGCAAAAGAAAAAAAAGAATAATTTATTTCCAGAGAAACACTCTTATATTATTATATCTATTACAGAGGAATTAAAATGTTCAAATGAGAATTAAAAATTAAGTTGGCTCACGACCTTTAAGAATAAAGACACAACAGAGCAATTGCCGCACTGCCACTAGCCAGAGCCAGGTCTAGTCGTCTACTGATAAGAGTAACAAGACAAAAGCCGTGACGCAACACTGACAGTGCAAAGAAAACAAAGTCAAAAGAATAGAAAGACTATTTATCCAGACATACTAGTATAATCATTTATTGTTCATTCAATACCTAATTAAAAATATATTTTAGTATTTTACATAATAAATTATAAACAAAAGAAATATCTGATATAGTGAACAGATCTGTATCTTGGTTAAATAGGGTTAAAAAAATATATTTCTAAGATCCAATACAATATTTACAACTCACAAATTACATTGAATTAATTTCTTTGAAAATAATCTCTAACAGTTTTGTGTTTTTGAATAAAGAAATATATTTCTTTGTCTCTACTTCCTTGTTTCATCACTTGCATTTTGTCAGCAATTGAAGCAACTGGGTAGCAACCGGGGGTGTAAGAGGGGAGGGGGAGGGTCTATGACCTTGAATTCACACATGTTGCCCGGGCCTGGCTGGTAAGACTGATTCATTGTTTTTGTTGACATACTACTACCCTTCCTTAAGAGAAAAAGGCCCTGCTGTTCCAAAAACATTGAGGGTAGTTTAAAAACATTGACCTGTGTTGCCAAGGGCACTAGAAGATAGCATTTAACTTTCTTGTCTCTTGATTTAATATTATTTTAATCTTCTATATATTATTTAAAAGTTACTTTTCGGGTACCTAATTAGTTGTGATATTGTTTAGCTTCATTTTATGGATTTTTAATTCTTTTCATTCATTAGCTATCAAAATCAGTTGTTTTAGGATTTTAATCTCTTGCAGTACCGGTAGGTCTATATACTACTGTATGACATGATATGCATTTTTTAGTCCTTATTAATTATACCATAAACAATGTTTGTATGTTATTTACTGTTTTTGAGTTTTATAGGAAATTAGTTTACACAATATCTTTTCTTCAATGAGTTCTCCACTTGACATGTTGCTTCTAGCCTATTACTATTTTAGGCCCTATAAAAATAATGCCTATGTAAAGCTGTAGGCCTACTGATGCCAATAATAATTCTTTATTTATGATGATGTAACAAATAATGTAAGTGTGAGGTTATTATACTAAGGAGGTTAGGAGGCAGGGAATGAATGATACATGTTGCATGGTGGAAACATATTATTTTTATTTTCTTCTTGCTTGCAGTCCTGAAGCTGGTCCACAGGCCCTAAACTTGTGATATGTAAATTTATTTCTTAATGATCTTTTTATATTAAGTTCCATTCAAATTTGTTGTAATTTAGCTACCGGTACCTATTTAGTTATTTAAACAGTTATTAAAATGAGAATGAATGTCTTGATAAAAAAAATATTTTCTTCTTTCTTGCAGTTGAGCCAATTCCAAGTAAAAATTATGAAATAGGCAAGTAAAGCAGCTCACTGGTATTTCCAGCAGTTATTCTAATACATATGATTGAAAATAAATATTTTTTCACCTAAAATTCATATGTAAGTATGAATAGGCCTAATACCACATCAACAAAAATTTGTATTACACAAATGTGATAAATTTTAATTATTGTTAATCCACTCAATTGACAATTATGAATAGAAAAATACCGTATTGCTTCGAATCGAGTTGCATCGAATCGAATCGAAAATCTTTTGAATCGAATCGTTGCTTCGAATCGAAAATTTTTTGCTGCTTCGCACACCCCTAGCCATGTTATATTGTTCTGAACTTTTAACATTTACCTTGCTAATTGGAAGTACTACTTTAAGTCTATCTTAAGTGTGTTTTACTTGTAGACAAAAAAAGTGGCCACTGTTACTGACCAAGTGCTTGATATTAAAACGGTTCTATGATTTTTATGTCAAGGTTGTGGTCAATAAAGCAATCCAACTATAGTGGGAGAAAGTAAAAATTATGTAAGTAATTTGTCACAAGTGTGAAAATAATAACTATTAGTATTTAAACGAGTTAAAATTATTACTATGCTACCGATTTGACCAACAAAAACTCTTCTCGAAAGCACCAAATCGCCATAATGTCTGTTTGGTCGTCAAGTAGAAGTATATCACCTCAGTCTTAGTGGGGTGGACAGTGATCTGTTTCATTCTCAATCCGGACTGGTACATTTCTTGGATAAAAAAAATATCTACACTATTTTCTAGGGATGGACGAGATTAGATTTTTAGTTCGAGACGAGACGAGATTTTTTATTTCTCATAAAATTTCGAGACGGGATTTCCCTTCCCCTAACACAACGGGAAATGCACGTTCAAAATTTTTACCTGATTTTGTAACATTGTTAGATGACTGTTTATATACAAAAATAATGATAATAGGCAAGAATATTTACAATCTTTTATTAAAAAACATCAGCATATTATTGTTTTATTAATCACGCCTAACTTATTAAAAATGCCTACGATTAGGAAACATAGTGATATCAGTTAGGATAGAGTTCAACTTATCCTAAAATAAAATAAATCATAAAATAAAAGCAATATTAATTTTTATAAAATAGTTACTTGTTTTGACTTTTTATAGTAATAAAACATTCCTCACACTGCTTACACTTAACAAAACTTCTCAAATGTTATTAAAGTAATATTATTAAAATAATTAAAGTAATATTTACATTTAAAGAATTAATTAAATAAGAACGCCTTCGCAAAGGAAACGCAACTACAATACGCTCCTGTATTGCACATTGCATTGACTTTCTGCAGGCGTTTTTAATTTTTTTTTTTTTATATTCTCGTCTCGATAAAAATCTCGGCCAAAAAGAAATCTCGTCTCGTGTAAGGAGATTTAAAATTTCCCGAAATTTCGAGACGACCATCCCTACTATTTTCATACTTAAGATTTATAGTTTTTGTACTGTATCTAAAGAAAAGAAATTTCTTATAGCATTAAAGGAGGGTAAACCTATCGCCTAAGGAGCACTAGACAAAAAGTCATCTCGAGTTGTGTATGAATATCCTGCTGTAGTGGTGTGATCAAATACCAATTAAAACTCTTCCCAAAAGCACCATCTTGTATTTATTTCAATGTGGTCGTCAGGTGGAAGTACATAAAAGAGCGGTTATAGTGGGGTGAACAGTTGTCTGTCTCATTCTCAATCCGGACTGGTACAATTGTGCATCTTATTTTTGACGATTTTTAATAATGAAAAAAAAACTTCAACCTTAAGACAGATTATTGATTATTCCGAATTAGCGTTGAACTTAATTCCATCTAATCTTACAGAAAATATTTGAATTATTTTATCGCAGTGTCGCTGTTAGTAATTTATTGGAATGTAATCAAATATCTTCCTAAAAGCACCGAGTAGTCCCAATGTCTATTTGGTCGTCAAGTGGAAGTAAATAATCTCAGTCATAGTGGGGTGAACAGTCATCTGTTTCATTCTCAATCCGGACTGGTACAAGTGTACACATCTAATTAGTTAATGCAATGGTGATAAGAACTATGGCTGCAGCCTATATAACGTGAAAATTGACATAGTATTTCATTCATTCAGCTGTCTGTGTAGCCTTATTGAACCTAATACTAACAAATTTGTATTTTAAAGTTGTGCAACGGGTCTAAAACAATCTTTATTCAATACATACAACAAGTGTACATGAATGTGTCATCAACCTAAAACTACTTCACATGATTTCACCTACTTCCCTACTTGCTTAGTCATACAGTTTTTTTATTACAGTGTTCAAAACTTTCCAAACTATAAAATTCGCTATAAATTAAAAACCCCTTAAGTTTATTTTTGAATTTATTTACGCTACTTTCGTTTCTAATACTGCTGGGGAGGGAATGCATGAATTTGATTCCAATATAATTAGGACTTTCCTTAAATTTTTCTTTTTTATGTTTTTTAGTTATGAAGTTTAGTTTGTTTCTAGTGTTATAATTATGTACGTCTTTCTGTCTTTGAAGTTCTGATTCATGATTTTTAACATACATTATCGTCTTATAAATATAGAGACTGAAAACGGTAAAGAACTCTAATTCTTTAAAATGATTTTTACAGGATTCGTTTATATCAAGATTAAGGATACACCTAATGGCTTCTTTTTGTAAATGTAAAATTTTGTTTAAATTGAATTTACTTGTTCCTCCATAAATTTCTATCCCGTAAGAAATATGTGAGTGAATAGTAGCAAAGTAAACCTTTCTTAAGATTTCTCTGTTGCATAATGGATATAAGCGTCTAATAGCAAAAATACTTGAGCTGATTTTATTACATAAGTTGTCAACATGTGAGGTCCAATTAAGTGTGCTATTTAAGGTGAGGCCTAAAAATTTAGTTTCATAAACAAAATTGTTAAACAGTTCTTTTCTAGATTTTTTAGATTCAAACTCAATGAACGTTGTTTTATTTTCATTTAGTAAAAGATTTTTTTCATTCAAGTAATCTTTAATTAATGTGAGTGAATCATGAGTTTTATTTATAAGAAGCTCCATATTCTTATCATAAATCGACATACTTATGTCATCTGCATACAAGCACAGAGTATTATTTTCTACATGTTCAAATAAATGTTTTGGCATCCCTCCCAAGTAGCACAAGAACAAGAATGGGCCCAACACTGATCCTTGTGGCACTGAGTATTTTACTGTCCTAACCTCAGATTTAATATGGTACATTTTATTCCCACTTAAATGAACAATGTTAACAAACTGTTGGCGTCCCTCCAGATAAGATTCAATCCAGCTTAACTCTTTGCCACCAATTCCATACATTTTAAGTTTATCTAGTAACTTTAAATGGTGCACGCTGTCAAATGCCTTGGACATATCCAAAAAGGCACCAATTACTTTGTTGTCCTCATCCAACTTTTCCAACACATTTTCAATATAAGATATAAGTGCTGTAGTGGTGGATTTGTTTTTTCTATAACCATGCTGCTCTTTATCTAATCCAGTTTGGAAATTGGTGAAATTGTAGTAGATTGCCGAAGGTATAATATAATATCTTCCCAAAAGCACCAAGTAGTCCCAATGTCTATTTGGTCGTCAAGTGGAAGTAAATAATTACAGTCATTGTGGGGTGAACAGTCATCTGTCTCATTCTCAATCCGGACTGGTACATTGTTATTTTTACTACATTTTTTTGACAGTACACTTTTGTTTTTACTTAACGGATTGAAGGTTATCTAATTTTCCGGAGTGACGTTTTCCTGTAATGGACTTTTACTAGACAATGGTGTGCAACGGGTCAGAAATAATCCACTTTTGAGAATATTGAAACTAAAATAGTAGTTAAAAGGTTTTGTAATCTCTTCCCAAAAGCACCAAGTAGTCCCAATGTCTATTTGGTCGTCAAGTGGAAGTAAATAATCTCAGTCGTAGTGGGGTAAACAGTCTTCTGTTTCATTCTCAATCCGGACTGGTACATTTGTGCTCTTCTGTTCATATTTAACTTCTGTTCTCTATTCAACGTTTATAAAAGACCTTTCTATAAACGCAGATCATTGAATTTATCCTGTAATCGGCTAACTGTCTTCTTAGCCTTATTGAACCTAGTTTTAACTTATCTTACCTTACAAGACAATTTGCAACTCAGATTGGATTTATACTCCGGTCACAAAATTAAGACGATTTTAGGTGAGGAAATATTTACTCTCCAATTATTTACCATCATAATGTCAATCAGCTGCAAAATAGATTATGCACAAAAAGTGGTGGGGGAACTCTCCCTCAAACTGCCTAAACTTTGTGAACTTACTCAAATGTTACAGTTTGTAGAACGTATTACAATATCTTCCCAAAAGCACCAAGTAGTCCCAATGTGGTCGTCAAGTGGAAGTAAATAATTTCAGTCATAGTGGGGTGAACAGTCATCTGTCTCATTCTCAATCCGGACTGGTACATTACACTGTAGTAACAGTAGTGCTACACAGGTGTTGTGTTTCAATGATTGACAGACGTGTTGTGTTGCAGGCTTCACAGCTGATCTGCGTAGCAACACAGGAGGCCAGGCCTTCCCACAGTGTGTGTTTGACCACTGGCAGATCCTGCCTGGTGACCCCACAGAGAGCGGAACCCGCCCCTTCGGTGTTGTACAGGTGAGCATCTTTACCATAAAAATGTTTTGCTCAACGTTAAAAAAATTAAAAAATAATTTGTTTGCGTTTGGCATTTTTACCCTTGCTTCAAGTAAAAATATATTAAGTACTCAGTTTGTCTCCCTTTGGAACCCATTTGGATGTTAGTTGTGTAATTGTCAAATTTTGTCACCAAAGATTGAAAACTTTTGATTTGAATTTACTGTTAAATTTTGTTTTAACTACTTTAACTACTTAACCGTTTGTTTTCCAGGACACCCGCAAGAGGAAAGGGCTGAAAGAAGGACTCCCCGACCTGACACAATACCTGGACAAACTGTAAACTACAACTCCAGAAAGACAAGCCATGTAAAAAGTCGTTCCAGCCCGAGCGAGGCCACACAGACGATATTTATTTTATCATTCAAATATTATGTTATTTTTATATATATCGGGGGGCTGTTGTTATCTTGTTTCCATTTTTATTAAATATTTGTAACGTTTTTCCGTTCCAGTTCTTTTTATTACATTATTTGTGGATTTTAAAAAGTGTAATTTATAATGATGGTTTGACCTCAAAAAGATTTTTTATTTGAATGAGAGAATGTACGGAAGACAGAGTAAAAGAGATAGACCGGTTCAGTTGAATGGTTTGTTTTATTGCCCTTCTATCCTTATCAGAAACGTATTGCAGGGTCATCTTGGTAACTTTTTATCTAGAATTGGGGATATAAACGTCTTTAACTGAGACAATTTTCAAAATAAAATTATTTAATTTTAAATAAAGTTTCATGTCTCATTTTGAATTTGTCAGATTTTATTTTGTGATTAATAAAAGCCAAACATTTACTGAGTAATTTGAGATCAGAAAGAATTTTGTGACTTATTAACAACCCAAGATATAAATCTTTTGATAAAACCATAGACAAAAAGAATTAAATATAGACCGTCAGCTGTGCTGCGGTTACCATAGCTTCTGGCGCACACCGCTTGGAGCGCCATGTATTTACGGCGTCCGCGCTACGTAAACTACAGCGGTGTGCGCCGGAACCTATGGTAACCGCAGCACGGCTGACAGTCTATATTTAATTCTTTTTGTCTATGATAAAACTGATTTCTGAAAAAGTCAATTTAATATTGTGTTAGGGTTCTTTCTTAGCTGGTCTCTAACTCATCCGTATTGAATATGATCAATAGCTCAAATGAAAGCCCTTCACTAAATATTGTAAGGCTAGAATGAACTGCAAACTTTAATAAGTACTGGAGATATAAGAAAAATAATCACAATAAATCTTCAAAGTACGAAATGCCCACTAGAAATGTAGTAGTGCACCTGTCGCTTGAATTAGAGCAATTGCAAAGTATTACAGGCGTTATTTCCACATGAATAACAGTCAAAATTTTTGATGACTTAAAAGAGTCAACTCAAAGATAATGTAATCAATCACTCCATTCCAGTTATCGAAACTGAAAAACGCTCTTTTGTGTATCGTGTTTTCTATGAACAGCTGTAATTAATACAAATTCCTCTGTTTATGTAAACAAAATCTTCATAAGAAATACATCGGGATTTTGATGGCCTGTGGGGCAAAGCCAGAGGACTAAATACAGGAATTGGTGAAAGTTGGTGTCTACAAAAAAATACTTAATTTTTGACACATCGTTTGTAAAAATCCGTTTATTATTAACGGAGGAGTAGTGCTTTGTCAAAATCGCCTTTACAATATATATGAGGAAAGGATGGGGTAGTTTTTTTTTTACATATCTTCAAAACGACAAAGAGAGATTTCGGCATTGAAATCAGCGTGGACATCTAGTTTATAAAGATGTGTCCCAACACTATCATTGCATTTACAAATTTGTATGTATATCCAATAATATTGGATTGGCCATGTTATGGCGGCCAAAAAAATGTTCCCTAGGGAAAGTACAAACCACCAATAAATATCGGTTGTGTCGCTTGTCCAAAATGTGTTTACAATACAGTACAATGTTCTTTATTGTTCATTTGTTAAGAATTACAATAGTACATTGTACGTGTTAATTTCCATAATCTTCATAAAATTCCTTTATTGAGTAGAAAGGTCTTGCGATTAGCCACTTCTTTAACTCCTGGTGTAGCTTGTTGTCAGTCAGGTAGATGGTTCCTCAGTTTGCGGCTGGTGTAGGAAGGTTCTTTTCCTACAGTCACCCGACAAAGTTGGCTTCCTTGTACTGTTTATAGTACAGAAAGCTGCTAATTGCTGCACATTTATACTTTGCCGTACGGTTTATACTTTGCCGCACATCAGGATTCCAACGAAACAACACAAAACAGCATGGTTCCATTATGCACGTAATCCGTGTGCGCTTGGAAATAGGTTGGCAACACTTAAAGATAATTATACTATGAGCAGCTGATTGACTACTATAACTACGATTTAACCTGTCATTTCGTGTTTATAGTTTCGGTATTTCTGAACTTTCTGGACTTTTCTTTTAAACGTTTTTAAAACCTTCCTACGATCTTAATAAACAAGAAATTACCTTTTAAGCATTTTTTTAGGCGCGGAAACCACTTCAAATTACAAAAACATACGGAACTATATTCTCAAAACGCGGAGCACATTTCTTGCCGAGGAAAAATAGCGGAGTGATATGGACCGCGGGTACTAATTTCTCTAGGGCACCATTTGTGTTGCCAGCTGAACCTAAAAACGTGTTGCATAGTGTTTGAAAGACTAATTATTTATATGCTTTATATTGAATAAATAAATATAGGATGGAGAGGACACAGCTAACTCACCTGATGAAAGGTTGCAGATGAGTCAAAGAACACATAAAATCACACACACATAATATACTTAATATTTCGCCTCTTTCAGAGGCTTCTTCAGAAGTAGGCCTAGATGGTAGTTACAAAACAACGTGTGTGTGTTTTGTAACTACCATCTAGGCCTACTTCTGAAGAAGCCTCTGAAAGAGGCGAAATATTAAGTATATTATGTGTGTGTGATTTTATGTGTTCTTTGACTCATCTGCAACCTTTCATCAGGTGAGTTAGCTGTGTCCTCTCCATCCTATATTTATTTATTCAATCCAAGCTAAATGCTTTTTCCTAAAAACATAACCTTATATGCTTTATAGTGACTGTAGGAAAAATATAATGTGTAACACGAGTGAAAAAGGCCTTTGCTGCACTCGAGATCATTCCACACTCGCCTGCGGCTCGTGCGTAAACATTGCTCTCGTGTGCAGCAAAGTGCCACTTTCACCACTAGTTACACAAATAACTATTCTCAAACAGTGGTTTGGTGAACTGGTAGGGCAAATTTGGAGCCATGACGGGTGTTGTAGTGGTGTAGGTCTTGTTTTTTTGGGAGGTTTATTTCATCCACATACTGTATGGTTTGGTTTCTAGTATGTGGGTAGAGACACCACTGAGAGGATTCCTACGTTTGTGAATGCTAGTCTGCAAGTCTGTGGTGGGACAAGGTTGGCGAGGGCTCTGATGGCTTTCTTTTACTGTACTCGTCTCACAAGAGAACCCATACCCATATGGTAAACACATATTCTGAACCAGTAATGTAATATACTATTATTACATACCCACTTCTATCGCCAAATAATTTCATCTAACGGAATTAAATATTAGTTCAAAACCAAATTTATGACTATCACAAAGTTTCTCACATCATTTAATTCATTTTATGATGCCAGTTTAAATATAGTGTAGTACTTTATAGCATGTATTGGAGAAATAAAACATATCTGTGCGATAGATAATATTTATTTAACAAACTTATGATATTTAAATAATATATTTTCCATTCACAGTAATATTTTAATCCTTGGTTTCACAAATCATTTTAATTCTATTCAGCAATAACCTTGGTAAAGTAACGTTAAAATGAAACAAAGTAGAAATGGACTTGGGAGCTAAATCAATTACAACTTCTATTTTGTTCTTCCTACTAATGACAAAATCTAATTTTCACTGTAGTTACTGAACAGCTATTGATTGCTAGCAGATTGTATGTTACTCGAGGATTATGTTTTATAAGCTAAAGAAATAAATCAACACTTTGTAAAATGTGTGATACATCATCAAACCATTGATAAAAAAACTAAATGTTTTCACTACAATCTAATTGAATAAAAAATCTATTTTAAAAATATCTTTACTCTATCCAACGGCTACAAAACTGCAAGTTGAAAGGGAGCAAGCTATATCTACTCACTGTAAATTTACATAATCAATTGCTCCTGGGAGTTTGTTAACATAAGCAATCCCTATTCTAGCATTTTGGGTTAAATTGATATGGTATAATACTCTGCATACTATTATATGACCCGTTATCAATTATTTCACTGAGAGGTTAACAATAACAAAGCTTATAAACTAAGAGGTTTAGTCCTTGGAAATCAGTTTTTTTTTATGTTTTTGGTAAAAAATATCACTACTGTTTGAAGACTAGAGTAGGAAAGGAAAGGAATCTATATTTTTAACATCTAAGTATTGAATCAGTCAATCAGAGTAGTTTAAAATTAATTCAGTATTGTTTTACAGTATATGGTTAAAATTTTGCTATTCAGAAGATTTAGAGACTTCACTAACATACTAAATAGCTTGTATCTGGTTTTAATAGGAAAGAGCAAGAAGAAACATTAATGAAATAAATTGGATGATGAATTTGTTTGTAGATATGTAAAAAAAGAGTTAAGGGATGGATACACTTTAAACATTGAAAATAATGAAAATTCATTCAAACTTTTCCGATCTAAGAAAACTTGACATTTATCACAGTGAAACAAAGTTGTTTTTCACATAACATTCTTACTTTCTTAATACAACCATTACATCATACTTTATTGCTTAATATGAATTTACGGAAAGTAAATAAAGATACGTCTTATAACACTTAAAACGTAACACTTACGCTTATACTGTTACTCTTCGCCTATTGGGTCTGATGATGATTGGAGTGTCCAATCGAAATCGATCACCACTTACCATCTTTTGTATATTTACCGTCTTGTGAGTAACAGTATAAGCGTAAATATATGTTTCAAGTGTTATAAGACGTATCTTTATTTACTTTCCGTAAATTTAATAACACGTACAATGCTGATCAAGAAGTTATTTAATATGAATTGAAATTTTAAAACAATAAGGTTCCAAAAATCAAAAGAAAAGAACTTTTCAAGACTTACAACTCTGTTTAAGATCTCAATTGACTTCCAAATGCTGCGGGTGTTTCGGTATGTCGTACATATCGTAAAGATCGATTTCTCCCATCGAGGCTCGGAACAATTCTCTTCTCTTCTCCTGGAGCGATAGAGTGTCCCAGCGCTCCTTGTATGACTCGGACATCAGTGTTTGTCCGTTGTTTTTCCAACTCCATGGCCATTGGTACAATGTCTCGGACGGCGCTGTCTTATTGGCTCCTCGCACACAGAGCGTCCATTGCAGTCCGAGAGCTTCACCGAGCAGGAGCGACACGGCCGTAAGCACAACCAGGGTTAAAATCACCTACAAAACGGTGCTGGTTAGAAATCGAGGAAAGATTCGTCCATTGATTAGAAATATAACAATGTTTGATACTGTGAGGATATAATTTGTATGCGTTTCTGTAGGCCGCTGACACTCTGCCGTCTCGTACCAGAAAATTAAACAGTGTATTGTAACATGTGTATTGAAATATAAACAAGATAGTATGAAACTTGTCATTCTTCATCTTGATTTGTTACCAATAGTAGATTTAAAATATTTACTTAACTTCGAAGAAATAACTCACATATAATGTTATTCTTGCTGCTCTCTCTTTCGAACTGACCTCTGCACCTCCAGTTATTCCTGCAAATATACAAGTTTGGTTAGCCAACAAGCTTGAAGATGTAAAACTTACCAATGTCACAGTACTCATTTGTGATGCTGACTTTTTTGATAAGGAACTTAAACATATTTGTTATAAGATTTTACCGGTTAGAGGAAATTAATCTCTGTATGATCATTTTTAGTTTGCGGTCACAGTCTTGTGTAAAAGGGGCATGTAATGCTTTTATTAAAAAATCTTTACCTTGTTTCGATGTCAAGTCAAAGACATTCACGGTTTTCGAAGGTGGAGACAACGCTTGTCCATTGAAGAGGCCGGCAGTCATTCCTTTAGCACAAGAATTAATTCTGAAAAGAAACAGTAGTTATTTCATACAAATTGTTGACGAGTTTATAGAGAGTGTTAATCAAAATGTCATAATGTCTGAAACCAAAAAGCCAGTTATATTTTTTTGCTGTTTCATAATATCCGTAATTCATAGTATTTATATTTTAGAACATATATTTTAGACAGACACCTGACAAAGTGGCATTCCTTGCACTGATTATAGCACAGAAAGTTGCTAATTGCTGCATCTACTTACTTTCCCTGCGCAGATTGTTTTTGCCGCACACCAGTATTCCAACCAAACAAGACAAAACAGCGTGCTTTTATTAGGCATGTAATCCATGTACCTTGGAAATAAGATGGCAACACTTAAAAGATACAACTATCAGCTGGTGCAGCATTCCCAATTTTGTTCAATGTATAGATTTAACCTAACCTAAAAACGTGTTGTATAGTGTTTGAAAGACAAATTATTTTTTTTTATATGGTTTATAGTGTAACGCCAGTGCAAAGTTCCTTCGCTGCACTCGAGAAACTTTCCATACTCACCTGCTGCTTGTGCATAAACATTTCTCTAATGTGCAGCAAAGTGCCACTTCAGAATTTGTTTCAGGTAAAAGTTTGTAAATTCAGCTTAAATGTTAGTGTCCTACAACTTAACCAACTTGTAACCAAACCATGCCTTCAAGATTGTGTATGATTTTGCTTTAACTTTATTATTTTTTGGTACCTTATCACGCAAACTAATTTGAATTCAGAATTAAAATAATTTTCCTGAGTAATTCAGATGCAAACATTTAAACGCTAAATAGATCTTCAAAATGTTCATAATTCAATCATTTGATTGGACTTGGGCTTATTTAGTTTCCTTTTTCAGATCAAGAAAATTCATGGTACTGTATGTTCTTATAACCTAAGAACAAGCAAAACCTATATTGCTACACATCTCAAATGCAAAAATCAATAAAACCTGGTTGAACCAAACTGACACAGCCAAAGTTCTCAATTCATCTTGACACCTAATTAGTCAGGCATGTATCAACAGGGTCTATATTTAGTACCAAGTCTATAAATAGCACATTGCCCTATATATATCAAAACTGTTTTATCATGAACAGTGAACTTTCTTCTTTATCTTATTGTGTTTAAGGTTATTTAAACATGTGATTACACCATAATTAGGTCTTACCTGTCCAATCAGGCTTGCAGAAACAGAGAAATGAGTAAGTAAACAATAACTAGAAGTGAATGCAGCAATGGCTGACTGCATCAATGGTGTGGGGAGGTAGGTGAAAGGGAGGGTTGCCTAGCAACCAGGGGGAGGCAAATCTGTGTTTGAATGAATCGTATTTGTGTCAATTAGAGAAAATTCCCTTTGTGTTTTCTCCTAAAGCGTAAAATAACCTGGTTGATTTTTCATCGACTTGGTGAAATATTCTTGGAAATTGTGTGGTTAATTTTCCCTGCAACATCCTACTAATGCTAAAAACATAATTTCGTGTTAAGCTTGTAATTAAAAAATAAACCTGTACCTACCTCGTGAGTTTCATCTTCAACTTAATCTGGGCGTAAAAATACCCAACTGTTAATCAAATCAAAAATTATATACGTTTGTCAAATGAAAAACTGCTTTGCAAAAGCAAGAGTATTAGTTTTACAGGTCTAATTCATCTTCCATTTGAAATATCATTTAAAACTTATTTGAATATTTAATTATTTTTTCTGAAAATTTTACCCCATGAATGAGCTGTGTTGTATCTTCGATACTTTAGTATCAAAACATTCAGAGCTGGCAAGAGAAAAATGTACAATTTGAAAGTATTTTGTGTGAACCGAAGAACTGAAACCCAATCATTAAGTAGATGCTTTCAATTTTTTTTCTGGTCAATGGTATGGCTGTACATTGTTTTCCACATTTTGTCTTATTATGAGATTTGAAAAAAATTCAACAGTGAAATTTAAATCTGAAAAGGATTGCTTTTGGTCCAATTCCTAATTTGTCACTGAAATTGATTGCGATTTTTACTTACAGATCCACATAATGTACAAAAAAACAATCTAAAAGGATTATTAAAAAACTTACAAAATGTCCTAATTTTGGTGGATCAATTTGTTACCTATATTCCTTATATTCAGTTATGAAAAATAAAATCACTTATCAAGTACGTTAAAGGATAAATAAATGTCACATTTGGTTGAAATTTTTATTTTTTTAATTATTGACATAAAATAGCTACCGGTACATATAGATTATGTTTTGAGAAGATTTTTATGATTTATATCAACAATTAGAGAACTTTTTCATGATGGCGTTACTGTATGCGGATAATGGAGCTCATAGATCAGAAGGGATAACGTGCCAATCAGCAGTGTTAAGCCAAAAAGTATCTGGAAATAAAAATCATGTTTTAATTTAAATACAGTAGATCTTTTAATCTGAACCCCCGTAATCCGAATGCCCACTAATCCGAACACCTCATTGCTTTACTCTATACACAGTACAGTAGTTCTATATTGTATACTGTATTTAATATACAGTACTGTTTATTCACCGTTTACTACTGTATTAAATAACACTGTATTTTACTTTATTAAGTATTTTTTAACTTTTCCTGTAACAATCACGATCCATTTTAGCCACGTTTTAGCTATTGTTATGTATAGACAACAATATCTTCTGTAATCCAAACTATTCAATAGTCCGAACTACCCCTTGGTCCCAATTAATTAATTACATTTGCTATTGCTAATTACATAAAAAAAGTTTAAAAAATTTGTTTAGACATGATAGGCAATATAGGCATGATTGTAAAAATACTACATCCAGAATTGTATTCAACTACTATTACAAGTGTCACTGTTACAACAAATATAACTATGTAGCAATAAGGAATTTTTTATTTTCAATTTCAATTAACCCTCCATAAGGATACTGGGTATCAAAATCCTCTATGTTCATCACCTAAATTAATATCACATTATGTAACCAAATTGTAATGGAATTAATATTTGAAAAAGTAGATCGTGTAACAATCAGTTCCATATATTGGCACTCAGCATGATAACTACACAATTAGTTACACTGACTATATTTATGTCAAAAATATTTAAAAAAAAACTGAAAGAGCCTAAATAATTTGGAGCTAACCTCAATCCTAAACTTAATAAAACACAAGTTTGAAATAAAACACAAAAAAACTCACAATAAAAAGAGGTGACCACTGTTTCAACTTTTGCATGATCCAAGATGTTTCGTCTATACTTTCGTATGCCATTTCTTCCACTAATTATCAAGCTAAATAGTTTTCTGAGAGCTAAATGTAGGAACAAACCTAGTCACTTTAAACACAGAAACTGGATTTCCAGCAAGGCGTTTGATGGCAATGGTCCAACCAGCATCTTGCTGGACCAGTGGTTATGTAATCATGAATACTCTGAGTTAAATATTCACATTCACATGTGTCTGTTTATGTAGCCGACATTCAATTCAGCTTGCATTGAAGTTGATTGAGGAAGATTTCCAATTATAAAACAAATATTTTACTTGTATTAACAAAAAGTAAAATAAAATTTAAGACAATATTTTGATAATGGTTTTAAATATTAAAAAAAATAATATGACCACTGGTTAGTTATTTTTTTAGTACTATGAAAATAGGTAAATTTAACATTTTCACGAAGTTAATTATAGTTTGATATAAATTTAATATCTACGATAATATCTATCTTTACCTATCTATAATATGTCAAGCCGTTTTTTGTGAACACTACTCCTCCCTTATTTTTGGACCCATTTCAACGTTTGAGGTGTCAAAAAGAGTGTCTCAATTTGCAGTTTTGCAATAAGGTTTCATAATTTTTAAATTCTTACCCTTAAGGGCAGGAGGCGCTCTCAAAAGTCGTATTTCCCCATTAGAGTTACATAGAACAAATTTAAATACAGTACAAGAACAGCTGTTGTAAAAATAAACTCTGCAGCTTTTTTGGCAGTAAATATTGTTGTTTGAAATATTCAAAAGGTTAGGGACTATAATTTAAACAGTTAATCAGTTTGGTTTAAGAACTGAAAATGCCTTGAGTTCAAAGAAGAAATATTGAAAACGGAAGGATGAGATAATTAAAAAGAGACTAGTGGCATGTAGGGACAGTTCCTTAAAAGGTATATGGTTAGTATGTCTAGTATTTCCATTAGTTACCGGTACATAATATTTTATTTGAGTCTTTTAAACTGATCGTAAATTATGACTGTTATAACTGTAGTTTTAAAATAACTCCTTTATACAGGGTGTTTTTTTAAAAACTTGCATCTTTATTTATGTAAAAACCGCAATAGATAGAAATATGCAGTTTGCGGGAATCATCTATTGACGTAGGGAGACCAATTGTTTTGAATTCAACGTTACATTCACATTCCCCCCCTTTCCCCCCCTGCCACCAACTTATTTTTTTTAAATAGCAAGGTACCCCTTGTGACATATCAAATAAAAGAGCATAAAAAAATCTCACAAATTTATGAACCGATTTTCAATTTTTTTTCATCAAACATTTTCTTTTTTTATGCTCTTTTATTTGATATGTCACAAGGGGTACCTTGCTATTTAAAAAAAATAAGTTGGTGGCAGGGGGGGAAAGGGGGGGAATGTGAATGTAACGTTGAATTCAAAACAATTGGTCCCCCTACGTCAATAGATGATTCCCGCAAACTGCATATTTCTATCTATTGCGGTTTTTACATAAATAAAGATGCAAGTTTTTAAAAAAACACCCTGTATAATACTGGTACGGGACAATTAATGGCTTGATTTCGAGCAACAGCTACACTAGTTATAAAATAATAGATGTTTTTGTATGAGTGCCTGTGTTCCAAAATAAAACTACTAAATCAACTGGGCTGAAATTTTAAAACTAATGTTAAATCATTGACTACCGGTATTGGTTGTATCAATAGTCAAAGGTTAAATTAAGTTTGTAAGCCTTTATACCAAAGAGTTTAATTTGTAGCAAAATATATCATAAATTAAGAAACTGTGACCCAATTGCTGACAATGAGTTTGAGAAAAATATTCTGGCTAAAGCCGGGTTTTCTTGGATGCGGAAGAGGAACGCGGAGAGCGGAAAAGCAATTAACATGGCATTCGGCTCCGCTTCTAGGAAAACAGTAACATTAAATTACCTAAGACAAGAGGAGTCCGCTCTCGGCGTTCCTCTCTCCGCGCTCCGCTTCCGTGCCTAGGAAAACCCAGCTTAATAAAGAGTTCTGATATCAATTTGAACCTCAGTTTAAGCTGCCAATGCAAAGATTCATTCAAATTTATCAAGATTTTATGAAGATTTATTTAATTTAAATTGATCAATGTGTAGTTCATAAAAATAATGATTGCTGCAAGAAAAATGTAGCCTACTCAGATTCAACAAATGTAATAAATAGAGTGAAAAATATAAGAAAAGATTTAATGCAATTGTACATTAAATCCTGATAGGAGTAAATTTTTAAACAACACAGTGCTCTTAATAGAGTTTTGTTGAAATTAATATCAGGTATACAATCATAAAAAAGTTCAAAAAGTAACCTCCGTTAAAAAAAATTTAGAAAAATATATCAACTAAACAAGACAATCAATTTACTAATCAATTTAGTTGGTGTTTAATCAGTTAAGTTTCCCTAGCTGCTTCCTGTTGCGATATTTTCAAACCAGCTATCTTCAGTTTTTTTTAATGTACAAATATTTCTCTCTTTCAGACCATGTAAAGAAGTGGAATCTCTTTTCTACATTGGGCAGTATCTTCTTTTGACTAATCCAAAGGATGAAACCCGCAGTCGGGGTAGTTGTAATCGATTGTCTTCCGTTCCTGTTTAGCTGGGAAAACCATCGATATTGGATGAAAATCTTGAGTGTCACTTGGTATGTTGATTTTAATTGGTCCGTCATTGTCAACAACATGCGTCAATGTTCTAAACTCAGCCGTCTCACTCAGATTCACAGTTTTGCTAATGTTGAAAGATGAGAAGTTTGAAGACGTAGTTGATGTCTGCAAAAAAGACAAATAGGTAGTTTATTTATTACTGTATTACAAAATATTCTATTCAAAAAGTTACATCAACAAGACTAGGAACTGATGCCTCACTTGATTGTTTGGAAATGTGGAAGATACCCAGTCAGCATAAAAATTGTTGAAAAGCCAAAAAAATTGTTGTACAACAATTTTAAAAGAGTTTGCAACAATTTCAAAATAAGTTTGGATATAAAACAATTTTAATATAAGTTTTAAACAATTTCAAAATTGTTTTAATATAGATGGTTAGTAACTATATTAAAATTGTTTTGATATGAGTGTGCAACAATTTTAAAATTGTTTTAAAACAATTTTAATACTATTTCGAAAACACATATCAAAATTGTTTTGATATAAGTTTGCAACAGTTTTAAAATTGTTTAGAAACAATTTTAATACTATTTCGAAAACACATATCAAAATTGTTTTGATATAAGTTTGCAACAGTTTTAAAATTGTTTAGAAACAATTTTAATACTATTTCGAAAACACATATCAAAATTGTTTTGATATAAGTTTGCAACAGTTTTAAAATAGTTTTGAAACAATTTTAATAATGTTTCGAAAACACGTATCACAATTGTATTGATATAAGTTTACAACAGTCTTAAAATAGTTTTAAACCAATTTAAATGCAAATTCTAAAAATCATTAAAATAATAATTAATGTTATAAAACCAAAATGTTCTGGATATTATATTTATGAAAGCGGCTTTCCTTTCAGTAATATAAGTTACAAAAATTACAATGGCCATCCATAATCTTGAAATGGTCTGTTTTGTAAAAAGATTTATAGTGATTTTCGTGTTTTTTCGCCCAAATTTTAAATCTTTCGCAATTTTTTTCTATTTTTCCTTATGGGACACTTATACTTGTAGGATAATAGTCAGTGTGTTGTGCTGTGTGTATGTGGCAATGAATACACAAACTAGTTTGTGTATTCATTGTATGTGGCCAATGCGTCAGCAACGACAGCTCCCCGCGATTTTGATTAAAATACAGTACGATAGTGGTAAAATCAAGTGAAAGAGTCATGGAGGAGGGGCAGACTGCCAAACTCAAGTTAGACCTAGACCATCAATTGCGCGACCTGTATAAGTTTAATGGTTAATAACAACAGGTTAACAGTAGTGAAAATAAATTATTTATTATTTGTAATTGTATAAGTATACTGGATGAGTTTTAACATTCTTACAAGTATCATCTACTCTAGACTCTACCAGAGTTTCGCAGTTCACTGACTACAGCAGTCTCCAGTCTGTTGATGTTGATATTTGATCATGATCACGGGCTGACGGGCATCACGGCATTTTGTTTGTTTTAAAAGTTATTAGGTGCATTAAGTTTACTGTTTTTATCCTACATAGCTTCTTAAGCAGCAAACAAGGTGAGTTATAACTTACTTAGGCCTTTTCAGTCAGTGGTGATTCAGTTATTCTAAACTAACATATAGGCCTAACCTAAAATGAAATAGAGGTACTCCAATAGTTCCTGGTCTAAGTTAACCAATAACTTTGATAGGTATTTGGTAGGTAACATGATTATGGCCCATCTCTAGAATTGGCCTAGCCTATGTGAGCAAACTCTTATGAATTTCCTTTTGTTTCTCATAAATATAACAGGCTATGTTACTGAAACTGTAAGTTACCGTTGGGTTTTTAGTAAATGGTCGTTGCTAAATGATACAGTTGGATTTACAGTAACCAAAACTAAAATAACTTAGACCTAACTTACACAAGACATCTAACATTAAGTTTATAAACTCATAATTGAATTGAATTACTCACTTAGGTGGCGTCCCCAACTCAAATAGAAAATGACATTGTAGGGCCTGTCGCCTAATGCGGTAACTGCTTAAAAGTAATATGACTAGGTATTTAGGCTTATGCCTAGCTAAGTTACATCAGCTAGGGATTGATTTAAGTTAAGTTAGCCTATTTTTAAACTTGTTGTGTTAAGGGCTGCAGGGGTTTTTCAACTATAAGTTAAGTTTATAAATATGTTAACTTACTAGACCTTGAAACTTGGTTAACTCATAATTTAGCCCTCCGAGTGTTAAGCATCGCGTAATCGATGCACAACACATCCGCCGTGGTGTTATGCGTCGCTTTTGCGACACACAAACATCGTTTATGGCGAAGGCTCTGGAACTGACTTAATCAGATTGAACTGGATCAAGATTGGTATCGTTTTCGGCAGATTCTAAGCTTTCTCCTGATGTATGTTTCTAGACGCTTTTCATTTTAGTTCCAAAAATATTTTACCAGGCAGCTGACGTGCGTATTTGTAAACAACTTGGTTAACCACCGATGACTGATGTGTTTTATTAAACGTTTCCATTGTCTTAGTGTTAAAATTATAAGAATTTAATTATAAGAAGATTAAAGTGATTTTGAAGGGCTGGTTGATGATCCTGAAGAAGTAGGTAGTGATATTGATGTAAATTATCGGCCAGATTCCTAGCTATGATTAGGCTATGCATTCTTAGCTAACGCTTAATGTACGAAATCTGTTTTTCACCCATAACTTATTTATTTTCAATTTTTCTTCCTTATATTATTATATTTTTGTAGGCCTAATCCTTATAAAATTTAGAACAAAGTGGCTATTTTAAAATATGTGTAGACTTATAAATTATAAAAAAATATTGAGCGCAAACATACATGTTAGGCTATTCATTTATTATATAATTTTTAATAAATGTTAACGCCACAAAAATTGCAGAAATTTTTTTTGCAATGTTCTATTAAATGCATTTAGTTTTTTGAAGAAATGACGAAAAAGAGATGGGCCAACATTGAACAAAGCAAAATAGAGAAATCAGTTGCTTCATGGCTGCCACAGACACAATTAAAATCAAAGACTTAGAAAGGGTATGTATAGTGTGATAATTTGTATTACAAAATTCACTTAGTGAGGTTAAAAACATAGGCTAACAAAACAATATGCTACTAGCATTCTCTCTTAATTCCGGATGCTTCAGTTTTGATAGTAGGCTATATTGTTATACTAAAGCTCAGGTGATTTTATTTATCTCAGACAAATACTGCAACAATCATTAATACTTGACAGGGTTTTTTTATTTCACGATTCTGAATCTACCACTTGATAGATTTTCACTATTTTTGTGTCGAAAGAAAGATAATTCTGAGAACTAGGGAATGTGAAAGGCACAATTTCAGTTTAGGGTTTCAGTTTTTTTGAAATTAAGTTTTCATTTTTTTAAGTCAAGCTGCCGACGTCAACATTCTAGACTAGCTTTTGCTATAATGCCATTTGCTTAACGTAACAGCTGTAAACATTCAGGGGTCCCTAGTAACGAAATATAATATTAATCTGTGTGTTATAATTTTAGGGCAGGGTGTCAAAGAGCACCTGAAGAACAGGAAGATGAGGATCGTGAAGCCGCCGACGCTTGAATGATGTGTAAATAATGTATTGTCAGAGTGTCTACGAACCGGGAAATCTGGGAATGAACTTATTTTTTTACTGAAATGTACTGTTTTTAGTAAATATGGGTAATTTTTAGTGGTAATTGTCCTTAAATAATTGTGTGGGCCATTTTAAGTATGATATAAAAATTTGTTAGAAGAACATAAAAGGTTTTTTATAAAATGTTTGCTTACATTTTCATCATTTATTACTATGGAGTAATTATGCAATAGAAACCACATTAGCAGTCTCAAAGCCATAAATATTTTATCTCGACAATCACATCAAGTCAAGTACTTCAAAAAACTTATGACTCAGTAGCAAAGCTCATAAAAGTTGTATCACTGTCATTCCTTGACAACTTATTTATTTATTACTAGGGTAATTATCATTAGATCCCAAACCTTTTTGATCATGGGAATAATAGTTTTATATTAGCTGTTAAATTTAACTTCTTACTTGTACTTTCATCTTGAAGATTCAATTTGCCGCTGGCCGTTGCCTACTCCCTTCAAAGCTGTTTACGGTTTCATATTAACCCTCCGAGTGTCATGCGTCGCTGCAGCGACGCGTAACGCACTTTGTATAGTGTCGTGCGTCGCTACAGCGACTCGCGAACACTGTTTACGGCGAAGGCTCTATGACTAACTGAATCGGACTGTACTGGATTGAGTTAGGTATCGTTCTTTCCGTAATATTCTAAGCTTTCTCCTAGGTCTGTCTCTAAGCACTATTCATTTTAGTTCCGAAAATATTGTAGCAGACAGCTGACTGAGCTGACGTGCGTGTATTCGTAAACAGCTAGGTTACCCTCGGACCGATGACTGATGTGTTTTATTACATTTATCATTGTTTTAGTGTTAAAAATCAAAAGTAGTGATATACGTGGTGCATTATAAGAAGATTTAAGTGGTTTTGAAGTGCTGGTTGATGATCCTGAAGAAGTAGGTAGTGATATTGATGTAAATTATCAGCCAGATTCCTAGCTATGGTTGGGCTATGCATTCTTAGCTAAACGCTATGTACTGAAATCTGTTTTTTGCCCATAACTTATTTATTTGCAAATCTACTTCCTTATATTATTATATATTTGTAATCCTCATAAAATTTAGAACAAAGTGGCTATTTTCAAATATTTATAGGCCTATAATTTATACAATTTCATTGAGCGCAAACTTATTTTTTTTTTTTTAATTTTCGAAATTATACATTTTTTTTACCTAAAAATTTTTTTTTTTAAAAATCTTCCTTATGTTTTATATATAATATTGAAGCCCAAGATTTTCCAAACAAAATGGTATATAGAACAGTATAATTAACATTGTTTTTAAGCTTCTCAGATCAGTTTTAATAAAATCTTGCAAATGAGCAAAAAATAGGCTGACATTAAGGCCAAAACACGTGACACTCGGAGGGTTAAACTTCGAATTAATATACAGTGTTATTTTATAAGTTAAATCCTCTTTTATGGACATTTTATCTTTCAATTGACAAAACCACGAGCATTGTTGTTTGCATTAATTTTTTATCATAACACAGTCCTACTTGGTCTCAAAAAAATCATGTCCTTGCATTTCATGTATCTTTGTCTTTTATTGTTGGCTGTTTGGGTTTCAATATTTTTTTGTTCCTCATATTTATTTATTGAGTTGTATGCGTTAAGCAATCTAAATCTTATAAACAAGAATGATGATAATTTGCTGCTATTATAACCTCATTGTTTGTTACTTAGTTTGTACAAGCCCTCCTAAATAATTAGGTCTAGGCCTAGGCAAACTAATGATTGCTATATATGAATGTTAAATTTGCAATTGAAAAGATAATAATTTATTCTGTGCTGGCTGGTAGAGTACTTAAAGTTTGTCCATGAATATTTTATTTTTATATCCATGCACCCATTTCTATTTTCCAGAATGTAGTAGACTGTGTTTTTATTATTTCTCTACTTTTTTTTAATTTGTTTACTTCAAATAGAAGAATTTCAGTATACTTATTTGTTTTTATTTATTCACCATTGTTTTTGATAGTAAACTAATCAATTAATGTTATATTTAATTGGTTGCTTATAAGGCGTACTTATTATTTATGAACTCAAATAGAAATTAACCCTAACAAAGTTCCAAATTTGTCTATTTTAAAACAATTTTCAAACAACTTCAAAATTGTTATACAACAACTTTAAAAGTGTTATACAACAATTTTAAAACAATTTCAAAATTGTTTTAAAACAACTTCAAAAATATTTTATAACAATTTCAAAATTGTTGTACAACAATTTTGAAATTGTTGTACAACAATTTTAAACTCATTTTAATATAGACAAAATTCCAAATTTGTCAATTTTAAAACAATTTTAAAACAATTTCGAAACAATTTTGAAACAATTTATTTTCTTTTCCAACAATTTTTATGCTGACTGGGTAGGTGTTAAGAAAAATACACAAAAAAAAAATACTCTGGTACATTAATTTATTGTCTGTAAAACTGTAAATATCTTCTACATCTATAAATTTGCTCCTGATATGTTAAGCTGGGTTTTCCATGGCGCAAAAGCGGAGTTTGAAGTGCAGAAAGCGTGGTCTACTCTCCTCTTGTAATTGTTGGTAATTTAATGGTTATGTTTTCCTAGAAGCGGAACAGACTGCCAGTGGGCAAGCCGAAAATCTTCTTCAAACTCTGTTTCCACGCCTAGGAAAACCCAACTTAAAAATCTAAAAAGTATAAAACGGGTAGAGCTTTACTTTTCTTTTAGTAAGTAAGTAAGAGGTGAGGCACAGTACCCATGAGGGTATTTCAGATGAAATGAATGAAATGAAAATGATTTATTTAGTCAGGCAAAGTTAGGGCCACATGGCCCTCTCTTACACTTAACCTGTTTATACAAATCTAAACATACAAATAAAACAAAACAATGTACAATACAAATAAAATACTGTAATCTATTTACAATATTTAATGTAAAAAGAAACAATACACTTTTAAAACATACCACCTTACATAAACACCCACACACACACACACACCTACACACGTACACGCACACACACAACACACACTCGCAAGAACTAGCACACACACACCCACACCTGTCAGTGATCAACCAAGTGCACGCCTAGGACATACCAACCATGGCCATACGTCCAGAAAACAGATGAATATTATCATTGACTTTTAGGATACTAAATTAGACATATACGATCCATATGTATCAGAAATGTAGCCAATTATTAGTATCAAAAACAAATACTTCAATGAGCTACTCACAGTTGTGGTTCAGTCTAACACTCTATTTTCCCTGTTTGTTTTTATGTTCTTGTTAAATTTTATATGATCAAAGATAATATATTTTACAACAAGATATCTTTTCGAATTGGCTTGGTAAAAAGATTTTATGTAGTTGACAGAATTTGTGTATCATTCATCTACATCAGCACAATCTGCCAATCCAAACTTAACTACGGTCATTCTCGTCATTCTAACACTAGATAACACTTTAAAAGGGAAATGGATTGTCCACTGTCCAGTTTAATCAATAGCCAAAAAGGTGTTAGGGTCCGTACACACCGTTATGGGAACGATTTTAGTTTTGAGAGTTTTCCGCACAGGCAGCATGTGCCATGGTGGGATATGAGACCAATCACACCTGCGCGGTCTGCGGGAAGCGGTCACGAGGCGGGAACGGGACAACTGTGGGCTTCTGCTCTCCCCCCAGCATGCAGCGTTTGCAGCACTATTATTGCAGGTTAAAACTAAACTATAGTCAGTTTTCACCTGACTGTACTGGTGTTTTCACTGTACTGTACTGGTGTCTGCTTGCCATCTGATGTGCACCTGTGCAAAAGCACAAGCTCCCAAAAGCACAGCTAAAATTCCAGTTAGCCGTTCCACTTCCGATCCTGTTTCCGCACTAGTGTGTGTATGTCTTTATTCAATACAATGGGGAAAAGTAATATTGCAAAAGAATAAGGATTTTTTTTACAAACCTGACTAGAGTAGATAAACTGGGACAACGAATTGGGTTGTTCATCAGGTAGAGATTTGAGAGTCCAGTTTAGTGTGATGTTCCATCTCCCATTTTGTAAATGTTGGTCCAAAGAGAGTGCAAAATATATCTCAGCCAGGGCTACCAACAGCACCACCATCACCAGTGTTACCTACAAAACATATGTTATTATAAGAGAGGTTGGCAGTGTCTTTTAATCTTGTAATTTTACCGTCCACGATTGGCTTTGGATCTTTGACTAGGGATAATCAAGAAAAGAGTCGTCAATATGATTTTACACTCCTCACTCTACTGACTTACCTTAAAATGTATGGCATAGCACTAAACGAACTTAACCATTTAATGTTGCCACTTACAGGAATCATTAGTAAACAGAATGGAACCATTCCCAGTTCTGTCACTGCGGTGTACGCTTCGCTGTGTTTAGAAAATTCTTCCTGCGGCATACAAAGGTCTGTAATACGTTTCTTTTCAAGCAAGAAACATATCGGCTGCAGACATTTATCGCCAGAAGTTTATGTCTATAATGTAATAATAGAGGGTAAAGTGCAGAGATGGGTTAGGTAGATTTAAAATGGCTGTGAAAATGTCCATTTCGAAGTTGTGGCTTGTGGCTACAGAAAACCACAACAAAAAAGGTTTTCACAGACATTTTTGCACTTCCTAACTCATTTCTTCACTTACCTTTACTCATTGCACTACCATCGGCCAATACATCCAGCCATCTGGTGAATAATGTTGAATGTCGACACTGGATATGTTTCTTCCAGTAAGCGGCTAGGAGCTACTTGAGGCGTGAACACGAACTACAGAGCTATATGCAAAAACAGCTTTTCCTTAAAACCCTCGTATATATAAATTTCCATTATCATACGAAAAAAAAAAAACTATATCACTTTAATAGGTAGTTAATTTGATATATTATAGGATTTCTCATGAGCGGGTGCCTTTATCTTAGCATTTGTTAGGTTAAATCTGATTTTGAAAGTGTGTGGAATATTGACCTTATTATATTTTAGATTTCACACACTTATTGAACATTTTATACAAATATAAACAGCCGTAGAAGCTAGTAATATCTAAAGTTATTATTAATACTTTTTTCCTAATTAAAAGTGAATCTATTAACCAACTACTTTGTACATAAATTATTACAGAAACACTTACAACGACATATTTGTTCATAGTAGTTGTTTCCTATTCAAAAACACATTAGGACACACAAAAACACTTTTGAAGAGTAAATAAACAAGTTGCACTTGAAACTGATGAAGAGTCAGTACTGGTGAGAAAATTAACTGTCAGTTGTATCAGAATAACCTTTAACCCTGGTTGAAAGTTATCTTTTAGCCTTTTATGCACATATTGTGAACACATTCTAATCAAGAATTTAACTTTTTTTTGTCTCACCATTGTGAAAGTTAGCTATTATGTCTTTTAGTTGCGGCATAGAGTTTAGTTTATTTCTTATAGGTTTACAATGGTGTTGAGTGTTAAGAGCTACTTATTTACATCATGGTCCAAATTGAGGAATCTGACCCATGTGTTAACTTTAGAGTTGCATGTTTATCCCAAATGGTGGAGTAGGCTTCATAGGAACGGTTTAATAGATTACAAAACACACAATTATTTAAACTAGTGCACCTGTTGCTCGAATTCGAGCGATTGCAAAGTATTATAGGTGTTATTTCAAAACGAATTAACATTCATAATTTCCTATGTAAAAGAGTCAACTCCAAGATAATGTAACCAATCACTCCACTCCAGTAATCAAAACTGAAAACGAACTCACTCTAAAAACAAAAGCTCTTGTGTTCATCATGTGTTTACTATAAACAGATGCAATTAATACAAATTATTCGTCTGTTTATGTAAACAAAATATTTTCTTCACAAGAAATACATTGGGATTTCGATGGCCTGTGGGGCAAAGTCCGAGGACTTTTATTACAGGAATTGGTGAAAGGGGGCGTCTACACAAAAAATGCTTTATTTTGGCACGTCATTATTAACGGAGGAGTAGTGTTTCGTAGAAATCGCCTTCACATATTATTGAGCGGAGCGAGCGAAGCGAGCGAAGCTCTTTGGGATCAACTTCAATGCAAACAATATAACACCATCACTCAATAACGGCTGAACACATTTCAGCCAAACTTAACAAGACGACTTAGACTAATAATGAGATGGTTTGTAAACAAACAAATTTCAATTAGATAATGCTAATGCAATTTAAAACGAACTTAAAATTTCAAATTTTTAACATTAGGCTTATGGGACTAAAGTAGCTATGACAGTTTTTTTGTTTACAAGAAAAATGTAAACAAGAGAACCATAAGGTACCTATTTCTAAACTTTCCATACTTTTCTTTTAAACGTTTTTAAACCATTCCTATGATTTTAATAAACGAGAAAATGCCGTTAAAACATTTTTTTAAGGCGCGGAATTCTCTTAAAATCGAGAAAATATACGGAACTACTTTCTCAATGCGCGGAGCATAAACAAGGAGCGGAGGGATACGGACCGGTGACTACTTTCTTGGGAACCTATTTGTGTTGCCAGCTGATTAGAAACAGCCAATGTTAGAAATCAGGATTTAATAAGCGATATATCGAACCGCATCGAAATCGGTATCTAATCCGATAATACCTCATAGGTTATATTATGTTGAATTACATCGACGATACAGTAGGTTATTACACTTATTGATAAAACGCAGATTGAACACTGATCTAATTTAGGCATGTGGGGATGTAGGTCGGGGTTTATGAGTATTCGTGACTACATTAAGTGTTTTGAAGTAAGGTTAGATTAGGAAGGTAAAGTGTAGGTTATAGGTAGGTGATCGGGTTGTTTATTTGTGTTGCACTATATAATTTTTATCTTTTGGAATGGAATAGTTGGTTAAGCTCTTTGGGATCAACTTCAATGCAAACAATATAAAACCATCACTCAATAACGGCTGAACACATTTCAGCCAAACTTAACAAGACTACTTAGACTAATAATGAGATGGTTTGTAAACAAACAAATTTCAATTAGATAATGCTAATGCAATTTAAAACGAACTTAAAATTTCAAATTTTTAACATTAGGCTTATGGGACTAAAGTAGCTATGACAGTTTTTTTGTTTACAAGAAAAATGTAAACAAGAGAATCATAAGGTATTTCTGAACTTTCTATACTTTTCTTTTAAACGTTTTTAAACCATACCTATGATTTTAATAAACAAGAAAATCTTGTTCGTTATAATTTAATCTACTTTTGCAAGAGGTAGCCTATCTGAATCACAACAAGATGTAGTCAAGAGGTAAATTATTATAATTTTAATCAATAAAACAAGCATTAGTACATATATTGTTTGTTTGTTTTTTTTTATTTAGTTAGTTACACAAATATTAAAACAAGTTTTCTCCGCTCAACTGGCTTTCACCGCTCTGAAAGCAATCCTAGTATATAAGGATTTTATCAATAAAATTTTCATTTTTTTTTTGTGGGTTTCACAGTCAATAGGATTTTGTTTGCAGCAATAGATTAGTTAATACCAATTTCTATATCAATCAATACCATTAACTTAGTCCTTACTGGCACTGTATGTTGTTTGGAATAATAGGTTCTTACACACATTTTATTTTGTGTCTATTGACGTCATTGGCATTTTTAACGTTTTGAAAGGAAACAAAAAAGGCTTTTGGGGCACAAAATTCTCCCTTGGAATCAAACCAGAGAAGTGTTTTACAACCCAAGAAGTCAAAACAAGCCTTATTTTTGTAGAAGTTTTTTTACTAAGTTTACATAGTGGGAAAAGGTTACTATATTGTTTAACTTTATTTCCGTTCTTAAAAAACAAGATACTTTGTAGTCCTCTTTAGCTACTGACAACTTGAAACAATCTCATGGCACAAATGTCCCTCACCGTGCAAAATGCACACTCAGTACCGGTACCATATAAAAGGATTCCCTTATAATATTATTTATAACTATTTGAAATGTTTAAAAAAAAACCAAGAAGTATCAATCATTGAAAGTATAAAGTATACTGTCGGTACTGTATTGTTGATGCAGTATCAACAAAATTCAACAGATAGCAGGACCTGCATGGCTGAAGTTGGTAATGCAGATTGGAAATATCAGATGTTGTCAATTCAATTCCTATTATCATTCACTTTTGGATACTGAAGTTTAGTAAACATCCCATCTATATGGACCACTTAAGATGGTATATTCAAATAGAAAATGTTGAACGAGCCACAATTATGCTACAATTCAAATTAAAGTTTTCCCTTAGTTGCCTCTAATAAGGAGAAAGTATTATCCTTGTCAAATTTTTTGGGTTTGAGTTTTGGGTAGAAATATGTATGGATATATGTATGGATATATGTATAGGAGCTACAAACAAACTACACCTGTGCTTTGATATTGATGACATTTTGTATGTGGGTACCTACTAAATCTATGGTTTCTAAATGTGGGTTATTTACAATTTTTTTTATTTTTTGTGATGATTTTTAAAAGAAAACCCACAAAAAATAACGGAAAAATCTCATCATTACAAAAACGGCTCTATTGATTTAGATTACATTTGATTTGTTATGGTCCTTTTAACTATAAACAAAATGGTGCAACCCTCAATGCAGTAAAATTACAGTGCTATTGCACTTTTTGTGATTTTACCCATAAAATTGCATTTACTTGTCATAAGAGTTAAATTCCAACTTGTGATAAGTTGACACATAGTAGCTACATGACAATGTGAACTTGCTTGCCATAATATGGGAAGTTAGGAAGATAAGAAGTAAGCCATTGTTAGGGTCATCTATCAGTAAGTATTGACAACACATTGTACTGAGGCCAAACCCATCAATCAAACAGAAATGCTAAACTTTGTGATGTTGTACAGCATCTGGAGAAGTTTAACCTTTTCTCACTTTAGACTTTAGGTTTACAGTAAAGCCTTCGTTGGGAGTTTTAAAATGAGAGAGTTGTTATTCTTGTAGAATATTAATATGTTTCAGGAAAAAGTGTGACCGTAAACTGTGATTTCAAGGCGATTTAAATTAGGATGATATTTACTTTTTATGTATTTCACTTTGACTTGTTTTACATCTTTTTGCTAGGGTACAGACCAAACGCTGGTTTTGTTCATGTGTAACATTGACGTTATGTTAGATTTATGGCTCAATCACAAATTACCTAGATCTAAAATTACCCACCTAGGTTCAAACCAGCGACCTTCAGATTTGAGGCAAGCGCTTTATAACCACTCATTGGCTACTCAAATTATTGAGTGCAGTTATTTATTTGATCCTCTTCATGAGGAGTTTTCATGGTAGTAGTATACGTGAATAATATTTGTATTATATTAATAAATAATACTAATAATAAATATTTTAACACTTCATGAGACACATATTGTTATACTCCACCCATCTTCTCAAAGCCTAGAATTGTACTTGTTCAGCATTTAAATTCTTAAACAATTTTCAAGAGCTTATTTAAAAATTCTAAACTGGACTTATTGCTTTTTAAGGACTCAATTGGACTTTCAGTAAAATTATGACTTGATACTTACTTGATATGTGAAGTCTTTAAGCGACTGGATATTCCAGATTGATTATATTATATTATTATCATATTACCAATTGAGATGAGGACTCCACCTAGGTGTGTCTAGCCATAGACAAAAAGAATTAAATATAGACTGTCAGCCGTGCAGTGGTTACCATAGGTGCTGGCGCACACCACTGGGAGCGCCGTGTAGTTACGTAGCGCGTAGGCCGTAACAACATGGCACTCCCAGCGATGTGGGCCAGAACCCATAGTAACCGCAGCACAGCTGACAGTCCATATTTAATTCTTTTTGTTTATGGTATAGCCCAAATATGATTGAATGATGAGTAGAATGTGAATGGTGTGAGATGATCCATGTAGCTTTGTTACTGACTGAGAGCAGCTGTTTTCTTAGCCAGGATCAATTGTTCCACAATGATCAGAATTGCGTCCGGTTTACTCACATTTTCTAAAACTACATTTCCTCAAATTTACATAGGGAGAAAATAGGTCCATCTATATAAGTATTGAAGTGAATTTCTTCTCTGGCTGAGGAATTGGCTGATATTATAGCCAGGAGGAGCAAACACAATAATATTTGTTTTATTCTCTTTGGTTGGATAAAATCCATAAGGTATCACTAATTTCATAACAAAAGCCAGTTAAGCATGTGAAAACTGTATTTGAACACACAGAAACATTAAAAGAGCTTGTGGATCTGCATTAGACCGTTCT